ACCATGTTAATAATTAAATTTACAATGAAAACTCAATTATAAATTTAATTAACAATACAAAAGTTAATAAACATAAATTTTAATAAGTATCTTGGTACAAATATAATCCAAATATCAATCTAATTAAGAATAAAAATGACAATTTAAAACTAAATTATCTTATAAAAATACAATTTAAAATTAAATAATCTCAAATCTTTAAATTAAAAAAATAAATGGTCTTCGAATGCTAGGCCAACACTCTAGCCCCTTTCATGCTCCTCTCTAAGTTATCTCCCAAACAAGCTTAAACTGTCACGGTGAAAAGCTTCTTCCCAAGCTTCGTACATAGCACGATCATGGCGGATAAGGAAAATAACAAGGGTGAAGTATGCGCGGTTGGAATGATGAGGATGGATGGTGTGGTTGCGCGCGTGTCCGTGCGGTAAATAGAGGGGAATCAATTGAACGGATGATGATGGAATATGGTGAGTGGATGCTGACGAAAGGAAATCAAAAAACGCGATGATGGAATATGAGTGGAGTTGACGAGGTGACCGCCATAAAAGAAAAGAAGGATCGTTGGAAAATCGAGAGAGGACCCCTAAGGAGTGGCAGCTAGGTTAATTTAATAGAAAAAGAGGAAATTTTTTTAATCCAAAACCGAAGCTATTAATACTTGATTGAACTATTTGAATTTAGTTATTGGACTGTGTTTGAATTTAAAAAATAATTTTGCACCAGTAAGAAATTTAAAAAATTTCAAAAATAATCTTTCTAAAAATTTAAAAATTATTTTAAAAAAATAGGGAATATTAATTTCGAGTTAAAATTGAACATCCCAAAATATTCATATTTTCAATCCAAAATCTCAATAGTTATGAAATATTTTAAAATTAATCAATTAATCTAATAATACATAAAAATTTATTTGAGCCCAATTTAGTTCCTAGATTAAAGTGGGATTAAATATATAAAAATTAAGCTTTATTAATATACATACTAGATAATTGAGTTTATAATTAGAGATACCGGGTGAGCATGATTTTAGCTATTTAACTTCATATAAAGTTAATTGAAGTATATTAGAGAAAAAGAAATTATTTAATCCTAACAATCATGACATGATTATATTACTAAAATATTATTTATATAAATAAATTATAGTAGTATATTAATTTATAAGTTAAATAAATTAATTTAAAAAATAATAAATAAAGATTAAATAAACTAAAATTTTATATTTAAACCAAAGTCAAATGTTTAACAACCCTTTGATGTGGGACTAGGGGCTACTGAGCTATGTAATTTCATTTTCGGTGATCGTGTCCATACTGTAATCAGTATCTTTAAATTATTAGGTGGTTTATTTTTCAGCTATCATATCCATACTTCAATCAATATCTTTAAATTATTAAGTCACAGAGAAAAATACTCCTTCAATATTAGATATAAAATATAATTATTAAATTGATTTTAATTTTAAATATAAAATTTATTTTTAATTTTTTTATATTAAGAAAAATAATTGTGATGTTTTTTAAACAAACATATCATATTTTTATAATTAATTAATTAATTAATTTTTTTAATTTAATTAAATTAGTTAAATAATTTATATTAAGTAATGAGAAGAGTAAATAGAAGAAAGTAAGAAAATGATTAGGCGAACGAAATGCCAATTTATTTTCTTTTCGAAATGAAGAGGCCCCATGGTCACTTCCTTTGCCAACACTATTATTTGTTCTTCAGAGCCCTATAAATCTGGTGATTCATAAATCTTTCGAATCAAAGCATACACATTTCTCCCTTCAACTTACCCACTCATGATGGCTCAGGCACCACAATCTCAGTCTCAGTCTAAGCCTCTTCACGACGAAGCGAGCAGTCACCAATCGCCAAAAATAGATGACATCGAAGAAGAGAGTTTCTCCTACGCCATGCAGCTCGCGACCTCCACCGCGATTTCCATGGCGATGCAAACAGCGGTGGAGCTCGGTGTCTTCGACGTCATTCATAGAGCTGGTCATGGCGCCAAGCTCTCCGCCGCTGAGATCGCGACGGAGCTTTCTTGCAAGAACTCCGAAGCGCCTTCCGCGCTCGATCGTCTCCTCTGGCTTCTAGCGTCGCACTCTGTTCTTACCTGTTCCGTCATCACCGATGAGGATCGAGGGCCGGCGTGTTCCCGACGAGTGTACGGCCTCCGTCCGGTGGCCAAATCTCTTGCGAGAAATGAAGATGGGGTGTCGTTGGGCCCTTTTATTGCGTTGATTCAAGATAAGGTCTTCCTTGACAGCTGGTTAGTAAGTGTTTTTTTAAATACAAAACAAAAACTAGTGAGAGATTCAATCTGGACCTACTCATAAAAACCGCATATATTAAAAAAATTTCATTCTAATAATATACATAATTAATAAAATATTTTAGAAAAGATAATACTGACAAATAAGTAATTTAACTAATTTTTTTAATATTTATGATTTGTTATATAACTCTTATATTAAAAATTGAGGATAATATTATAGGAATATATATGGATTTTTATCTTAAGATGAAAAGAACAATAGTCTAATTGAAATTTTTTGGGCCAGCGAGTGTGATTAAATATTGGATTCATTTATTATGATATATATAAGGTTAAATTTTAAGCTTACAATAAAAAAGGTTAAATTTATTAAGCTGCTATAAAGAGTGAAAGGAAAAAAGTTTTAAACTACAATTATATATATATTAATTTATTCGTTTACGCCTTTCCTCTATTTGACTCAATTATATATATTAATTTTAATTTATTAACTATTGAATAGTTGAAAATAGTTTAAAGCTTTATGATCATTCGATATAAAAATATTAAAATAAAGATAACCAAATTGGGAGAATTATAATGAGATTTCAAGGAAGAAAAATAATTATTAAAAAATCTTAATAACAACTTAATTAAACAGCCTGTAATAAGGTTTTAGAGTAGAAAATAACAATTTCTGAGACTTATTTTGTAATTAATTTTTTCCTTTAGAACTTGATTACAATTCTCTCTAACCAATTGACTTTTTACCCCTATTATTATCTCTGGTCTATTGCTTTTGCTTTATTTTAGGTTATCATATCATTTATTTTTATCTACGAATTACATGTAATATGAAGAAAAAAATTAGAATATAGACAAATAGAAAAGGGTTAATATAATTTTTTATCACTAAAATTTGAGCCTATTTCAGTTTTGATCCCTCAAATTTTAAACCCGTGATTTTAGTCACTAAAATTTAATCCATATTAAAACGTTATTTCCTGACAATGCAAAAGCTCCTAAAAACAATGTGTGAAAAAAAAAAAAGAGGCTAAAGAGTTTTGTTTTGAGGATCTGTTCCTTTTGTTTCTTCTATTATCCACACAAGGTTCGACTAGGTGTCATTTGGTAAGTTTAAATCACCAGTTTAACACTGTTTATGACACTTTAATAGATTTTAATACTATTACATATCCAAGGATTAACAGTTTAAAATTAACTAAATTCTAAGAACTAAAACTATGTGTTTGAAATATGAGGGACTAAAATCAAATTATACCCAAATTTTAGAGACCAAAAATTGTATTGGCCTGAAAAAATATTTGGTCGTCCCAATAATGTATTACAAGAAGTCATTTTCGACTTGCTGTAAACTTGACAAGTATGGAAATTTTAGGCGAGAATTGAAGGATGCAATATGTGAAGGAGGCATAGCGTTCAATAGGGTGCATGGCTCACATGCTTTCGAGTATCCGAGATTGGATTCAAGGTTTAACAATGTCTTCAACAAGGCAATGGTGAATCAGACCACCTTAGTTGTGACCAAAATTCTTGAATCCTACCGAGGTTTCGAGGACATCACCCGACTCGTCGACGTTGGTGGAGGTCTTGGGGTTACTCTAAGCTTGATCACTACTAAATATCCTCATTCAAGGAATCAATTTCGACCTGCCTCATGTCATCCAGCACGCTCCTCCTTATCCTGGTATGTCATTGCACACTGAATTTGGAACTCTCTGAAGCCTTCACGTAAGCTTTTCTTGAAAAAAAAACAAACAAACAATTATCGGTGAATTATATCAATGATTGTGACGTTCTAGGAGTCGAACATGTGGGAGGAGATATGTTTGAAAGCGTGCCTCAAGGAGATGCCATCTTCATGAAGGTGGGGTTGTGAGTAGTGATAATTATATAATCGATATGGTAATAGTTAATTAAAATTTCAGCTTTATTTGGTAAACTTTGTAGTGGATACTTCATGATTGGAGTGATGAATGGTGCTTGAAGCTGTTGAAGAACTGTTACAATGCAATTCCTGAAGATGGAAAAGTGGTCGTGATAGACGCAGTTTTGCCCATTGTACCACAGACTTCTGCTGCGGCAAAGAGCACCTCCCAGCTTGATCTCGTAATGCTGACTCAGAACCCAGGTGGCAAAGAGAGAAGTGAGCAAGAGTTCATGGAATTGGCTACGGCAGCAGGGTTTAGTGGCATCAGATATGAATGTTTTGTTCGTAACTTTTGGATTATGGAATTCTTCAAATAGATATTTCCATTTTCTGAGAGTATTATTACGCATTTTATAATTAACCTAATAATTAAATATGATAATTTAGTTTGCATTCTGTAATCCAACTGCGTTATTCGGAAGAAGTGGAAGAATCTAAATTGGATATGGAAGTACGGTATGGTTACCCTATAATTCTTCTCTCTTGTCACAACATTCCACACAACATATGTTTCTTTTTGATGATGACAGTAGCTTTACTTAACTCAGTAATACCTAAAATTCATATAGACCGCTAAAAGAGGCTTCAAGACTGTAACACCTAAAATCATCCTTGAGGTGAGATCTAACTAAATATGCTTTTTTAGGAAACGTAATTCTGAATGAATTGAATGAATCCCAAAGGATATCTATATCAAATAGATGCGATCTGCTCATGAGGTGTGCCTGCAGATAACAAATACAGGGGAGACAATATTCTTGTACTGGGTGAATGTGGCGCCATAAATTTATTGTTTTTCCCACCCTTAAAAACTGTACGAGATAATGGTGGAAATGATGTGAAAGTTACATTTATTTTCAGTACAGATAATCGCGTAACATTACATTGGATAATGTAGTATATGGTCAGAAGCATTTATCAACAATGGTTCCACATCTTCAACCAGAGTCCTTGCTTGTGTCAATGGCTCCTCTAGGCACTGCTCCCAGTTATTTCGTAGTATGTTTCTTTTACTTTTCGCACAAAAGCTTCCCTGTAATTGCGTTAAACATGCTTATTAATGGCATGGTTATGACTAAAAGCAAAGTAATTGGGATTTTGAAAAATATTGTTCAGAACTTGATGAATTGATTAAATTCAAAATTTCAAACCAGTGTATATAAGGCTTACCTGTCTGGCTTGAAAACTAGGTTCTTGTAAGCGAACCACTGTAAAAAGGAACAGAGATGATGAGTTAATAGATAGACCAGCAATATCTGTTACCCAAGAAGCAATAAGAAACAAAAGGATTACGAGGCAGGTTTCAAGTTTCTTGAGAAACTTGTTTCTTCTTCTTTTGATATTATAGAGCATTTTCCTGGATTAGCGTAGTGCATTTAAAGCTTCACTGTTCTAGTGTTTTTCAAAAGAAGCAAACACAGATCTCCAGGTTCTGGACAAATTGTTATAATCATTAATTGAGAAGAGTGAGTGACATACGGTGATAACAGTAGCGAAGCATATTAAACTTACCCCAGTGTAGCCAATGCCCACAACCTCAAGCATCCCAGGAATCAAAGGAAGCCTATCGATTGCCTGTTTTATAAGATAGCTACAAATAGTTACCAACTGAGCTAAACAAAACTTGAAACTGGCTGTAAATAGAAGGACGTTATGATCAGAGAATACGAACTAAGAATTCAGATAACCTACCGACATCATCCCAGCTGTGCCCCACAACGCAACTACACCAGCTGCTGCTACTGTGCTCACTGCATATTTATCTTCAACTTTGTCCCACTATGAACCCAACATAAAGTCAGTCACTTTAACCATTAGGGATAAACAAGTTAAAAAATATCAAACACATTCCTATAACTTGGAGCGGATCCTCTCTATTCATAGAGCCATTCATTCAAAGAGAGAGAAATAATACAGTGAAACTGCATCTGGAATCTAATCCAATCAATACTTTCATTGTATGCATATTCTTTTTCCTATCATCTCTCTGAATACATTATACAAGTGACTGCGGAGGATCTGAATTGCGTACAGCTTGTTGAATCTTCTTAACAAGCTCTGGGGGCTCAGCTGTGACAACTTCTGTTGAAATCTCTTGTCCTGTAACAACTGCTGGAGGGGCTTCACCTGTTGCCGAGCTTGCCATTGCCATCACATTGCGAGCAATTTTGCGACCTGAAGTAATCACTTAATGAATTACCACTTCCTGAATACGTTAAAAGCATTAGCAGCTAAACGCCCTGATAGTAACACAAACATGAATGGAGCAAGCACAGCAAAACATACAGTTTCTATCTGTAATTTCAAGGACCATATCATCTTCCATACAACAATTTTAAGCGTCCATACTTTATAGATTAGCTGTAACATTCACGAGGCTTATGTTTATATGGCAATGTTGTGGTCATTGCCAGAATATTGTGGCGATTTTGCGACATGACACAACCATTCTACAAAAAATCTCATACTACAAAAGCACTGGCAGCCAATGAAAGAGGTACAAACACATACACAAAAGACAGGATACTACACAGTTACTCAGACACAGAGAGAAGACACACAATAAAACACCAAGTGTTAATATAGTTTGAAAAATTGCTTGGTGTCTTAAAGTATTACACAAATATGGCGCTTTTTCTCCGTTTTAGGTTCCAGTGCAAAATTTTACATCCTTAGACAATCCGTCTGCATGTTACTTAATAGTATCTAATAAGAGTACCTAACATAGCCACAGCTCATTACTCGAATGCCTGTCCTTTAACAACGTTAGTGAGGCTTTTGTTTTGGTGATAGGTGATTGATTGTCCAACACTCCAAGCAGGTCTGATGTATCAAAACTGATACGTCTACATGACAAGCCTCACTCAAGCATAATAAAGGATGAGTGTGTGTGTGGGTTTGAAACAAGTGTCTGATACGAGCCCAGTTAAATATTTAGAATGTGTTTGTACTTCACCAAATTTGACTCCTTTCTTTTCTTTTGAGTTTCCATTGCAGAAGTTTATATCCTAAACCAACCCGTCTACAAATTACTCATAGTATGTAAAACAGTGTCTACATCATGGTACCAACGTCAGTGATGCTTTTATTTCGTCGTTTGGTAATTAATTGTGCATGCAGGCCTGATGTATCAAAACTGATACAAACAGAGACACCAACAAAATATCGAACAGCAAAACATGAAATTGAAGTAAATATATGCATGTCCATGTATTTTTTTTCTCCCAATACAAGTGTGTGATATATGAAGAGTTAAATGAAATATTTAGAATGTGATTGAGCTTGAACAACATGGATAAGGGCGTTTAGGGAAAAAGGACTTACAATAGGCAGCGGCCTTCCAGGGACGGTTCTGGGACTGAACCGGCGGAGGAGGGAGAGAGGGAAGGCTGACGCATTGAGAGGAAGCAGAAGCCGATTGTCTGGGAGCCTTTGCATCAACGAGGGAGGAAGAAGAAGAGATAGTGAGAGTGGAGGAGGAGGTGGAAGCCATTGTTATGAGTATGAGGTAGCTAGCCGGTGAAGGCCCCCTTGTTGAGTATAGGAATTTAGTGAAGAATGTGAAGAAGAGGAGGCTTTAGAGAGAGATTGAGATATTTGAGGATTTGATTATGGTGGGAGGAGAGGAGGAGAAGCTCTCTGGTTGGAAATGCTACAGGAAGAAGATGCAGAGCCACTCATTTGCAATGGTGTAGATAGTGTGGTGCTGACCTGGCTGCAACCAGATAGGGCTTCTATGGCATTTCTTTTGCCAGACCACTCTGCTTTCTTCTTCAAAACCTCCCCATATGCAATGCCAAGCCATCCTATTATCTTTCCCACCTTACAAAATTATCTTTATTATCTTTGCTCAACGCATTTAACATCAACCAGAAAAACAAGTTGTGATGGTTAGAGAGCAAGTCCCCAGCATGCTTTTATTGTTATGGATAACAAGTCGATAGCCCAATAGGCCCATGGTTAGGCCCAACTTCTAAACTGGCTGTTCCCAAATGATGTTTCCAGCTTCCCTGCTTCTCGTGGACTTGGATCCTCTGCCTTCGTAAAATTGGGAAACCCATCAATGATTGGAAAGGTGGGTAGACGACAGATCAAGGAAGAAATGTAGATGAAGGAAATAAGATAAATATTGCGAATCCATTTCTTAATATAAGACATATTTAACTAATTTGATTAGATTATAAAAATTAGGTGAGTTGGTTAATTATAATCAATATGACATATTTTTTCTAAAACATCATAATCATCTTCCTTAATATCTTCTATCCTTTTTTTATTTAATTATGGTTGAAAGAGTATCAATACAAATAATTTAAAAAAATTGATAAATATACAAAGTAGGTTTTACATTTAAAAACAAGATTAATTAACAATTAGATTTCACATTAAAGATCAAAGGAGTATATAATTGTTCTATAAAATAGGAAATCAAAACTCAAATAGCTTGTTTGGAATATCTTATGAGCAGTTTTTTAATCATGACTTACGAAATGTGAGATAAATATGTAAAAAAAAAATTTATCTCGACTTATATGAACATATTTCAAAACACTTTTAAATGTGATTTCAAACACGCCGTAAGAAAGTGATGAGATGGCTGTTTGAAATAGGTTGAGGTGATTAACTAGGAACAATCAAAATGGGATATAAGTAAAAAATTGAGTTTTAAATAATTTTTTTAGTAAAAGAAATTGGTGAGGCATGGTTTAGATGAATCTGTAGCTAACAAAAGCAAAGCCCGCAAGGTTAGAGGTTAAGGTTTAACTTCTGAAATTTTTTTTTTAAAAAAAGAAAAAAGTAACTGTGGAGAGGAACATCAAGACGAAAACAATGGAACGAGATCGAAGGATAAGGGGGCAGGCTAAAAACAAAAAAGAAACAAGCATAGGTATTAAAAAATGGAGGAAAATATATATTTATATATATATAGGCAGAATAGGGAAAGTACAAGGACAGGTACATAATACAAGGGTGGCCAATGATGCTAGGAGATAGTAATTAAGATGCGCTCCTGGAAACAGACTTGCCATCTTTTTTTTGTTTTGATCGTGCAGAAAACCACAGGGGCTGTGAATCTGCAGCAAGATCTCTGATTCTCTGTCTATGATCTGCATACCTCAGGATCCGAATCTCTGACCCTCCATTCCTCTTCCCCATGCCTATCCTCTCTCTTCCTTCCCATACTAATTCTGATGGCTTTCATGTTGAGACAATAAATTTATATATATATATATATATTCTTCACGACAAAATATGGTGAAACACACCAGCAACAAGCAAACCTACTCAAATACATGTCTTTATCCATTTGGTTCCATCTTTCCCTCAGATGATGCATCTTTCTTGGACGGCCCTACAATAATAATGCATTATATTGTTGCATGCATGCAACTACTCGGACGACATAATCCAATAAAGTTCCGTCAATTCAGTGCTGCAAAAACATTAATTTGGAATCTGGAATTATGACACACATTATTTGTGGGCTAGCTAGTAATATAACACAAACATTCATTTGACCTCAAACGTTATATCACTATTTTTTTTAAAAGATAGGCATAACATGTTTGGAATTGCGATCTGTTGGAGGTTGCTTGAAAACAAGACAACAATCCAATTTTAATGCAGAAAAACTCAAGGTACAGAAAACGTTGAAAATTGTGAAGCAGAAGTAACAACGAGTGAGAAACCCCAAAACATGGAAGCCATGGCCCATGGATGAAACTTTTCACTGTAATGCATAGGTGCAGACTAAAGAGAGGAAGAAGGGCTTGTCGTTGGAATTTGAAGCATGACCAGCAGCTGGAATAGGTCAGTGCAGGCTGCTAAGGAGCTTGCCAGCAATTCAAATGGTATGTACCACTTCTGCCTTTACCTCAGTTCCCCATTTTCCTCTCTCAGCTTTTCAATTGTCAGCTTCTCATATTCTCTTTCTCTCTCCATTTCCACTTTCCACAATGTTCATGGACATCTGCTTCCGCTTTCACAGCCTTCGTCCGCCTGAATCTTTCATCACCCATATGCATATAATTCATTTATATATGTATTTATATGTTTGCGTATGGGCACAGATTACCAAAACACTGTACTAGTGATGAGAAATCCATGGACCGACTAAGCAGAAACGGACTGTACACTTAATCTTATAGCCAAAAGGTCCAAAGGCTAGGAATATATATTATTAAAACAGCAAAGACAAGTTTACATTTAGTATTCTAAACCCGAACCGCCTCTCAAATCTTTAAAGGAGTAGTTATATGATTTAAAACTAGCAGTGTAAAACTTATGTCAACTCACTGCTCAAATCATCTATTAAGAAAATAGATTAGTTTAGGACTTTTTCCCATAAATGTTTAGAAAATGATCTGTCAACTGCTTTGATGCTAAAGTGGTGATTACGCACGTATACCCAGGCATCATTCCTCAATCTTGAAATATACATGTAAGACTTGTTGGTTGATTTAAGATATATCTATGTAGTATGCATACATAAAAGAACAATAATAAGTCGAACAAGGTTAATTGTATGGAAACGATGGGAAAAAGAGAAATGAACAGTGCACTGAAGAAATAAGAAAACTGCGATGTGGCGTCTCAATCAAAGCACGGGGAGATTTAACGCAGTTGTATGGATCAGAAATTGCATGGCAGGGTCACGTCAACTTTAAACGTAATATAACATATATATATTTATATATATGGACACATAGAGAGACAGGGAGAGAGAGAAATAAGTTTGAAAAATCACCAGGCATGAGCAACCGAGCGATCACCAGCAAAATCATTATGTTCTGGTCCACCTTAATAATGTTCCCTTCCTCGTAAATACTAATTTTGCCAAGCCCTGTACGACTACATTATCATTATATCCCTTTCCCCTCTTTTCATTGGTTTAGAGATCTTTTTCAAGTGTTAATTTTATTTGTAGATCAATTTTACCTTGTCTTTAAAAAAATATCTAAGATTTGCCTATTATCCACCTATATATCTTGTTATTAATTAGCTCGCATTTTATCATAGTCTTCATATACAATTATTTTTCCAGCTTTTAATATGCAATATACAACTCTCGAAACTCTAGTTTTAAGAATGAGTGTATATATTTATAATTTATTATTTTATGAAAAAACAAACTTTTTATATACAGCATGACCTCGATTCTATAACAATGGTAATGAAGTAACCCCAATATCTGAAAATAATGCTCACATAAATCTACTTGCATAATATTAGGGGCCAAAATTAAACTTATATAATGTATACGGTACTTTTACATCGAACTATCGGGATTTGACCAAATAATCAGATATAAAAATAGAATAGTATTATCCCGTATTAAATATAAGAGTTATTTAGCAGTTTTAAATATAAAATCTCAATTTATAATATGTTATCAAATATCCTTATTAATAATAAGGTATTTTCATCCAAATATAATTTTAATATACATGATTGAATGAGGATGAGTTAAGAAAGTCAACACACATTTATTATAAATAACTAACTTAATTTTTTTAATCTTGCTGAATAAATTATCTAATTTTATATTAAGAATTGAAGTACTACTTCCAATCCTAATTATAAGATCTTGTTTATAGACTATAATCAATATTTCATAATTAGGAGATGAGGTAGTGGTAGTCAAGGGACAGATTATTTGTGTACGGGGGCGCAGCTGAATTAACTGAGTCAGAGTGCGGCAGATGAATGATGCTAATTACAGGACACTAATGGCGGAAAAGCTAAAAAGACGGCTCATCTTTTCATGTAAAACACAGATTAATATTCAACCATCTCACCCCAGTTTTCCTTTCCTGCGTGCTGATGCCAGTGCTCATCCATGCGAATATCAAGGCATAGTTGAAAATCAACTCAGGAGATACTGATCCTATTTTTTTTAATAAGATACTATTAATTAAATTATATAGTTTTAAAAAATAATTAAAAATAATAAATATATAAAAATTAAACATTTTAAAGTCTATTCTTATTTAATGAGAGAATAAATAAATAAAATAATAGTTGTGAGATAAAAAATGAAAGAGAATATAAAATTAATTAAAGACAAAATTAGTAAAAATACATTTACTGTTGAGACAATCTTTAGTAGGATTTTATAAAAAAATCAAACCAATTCAAATTTTGAAATCTTATAAATAAAATTAAAAGAAATATTTGAAAAGTTCTAAAAACATATTATAAATTTGGAAAAATCGCAAAAACAGACCACTGAAATATAAAAATTGCACAAAGGATCTGTTCATAAAAATTTGTTATTTGTCAAAACACATACTAATGTTATCATGAGTCCTGATTTATAATTTTTTTATTTCAGTAGCTTTTTTGTCCTTTTTTCCAAATTTTTCCCTAACGATGGAAGGAAGAGGAGAAAAAAGAGGGGGGGGGGGGTGGCGTGTGGTCGCTCTCAGAGTAATGAAGGAGGGCGGGGCTTCTGCCTGATGTGGGAGCGTGGGAGCGATCTCATAATGTGATTAATATGAATATTATATATTATTTGCAATATTATAATATTCCGGTCCTTAAGATGTTGCGCATGTCTGGTGGTGTTTGTTGCCTTCCCCTTCCTCGTTATTCCCTTTCTTTGACTTTTCACTCTCACCGCCCTTTTTCCTATTTTACCCTTCTTTTCTTTCCTCAATTCTATAATAGCGGCAGATTATAGCTTTTAATTTGATTTTTTTTTTACCAGCAGCTTTTAATTTGATGTTTGACGGTTGGTTCATTCAAATTATAAATAAATAAAGTGGCCATAAAATTGAAAGGATACAGCGAGTGTGTGTCTGTGTATAGATTCATGGTCTATCTCTTTTTAAATATTATAAAAATGATAAAAGAACGGATTTATTTGGAATTAACTTATAAATAATTTCTTAAACATAATTTATAAAATACGAGATAAATATATAAAAAAAAATTTTATATCGGTTTATATAAACTTAATTAAAAATGTTTTTTGAACACGACTACAAATAAATCCAAGGCTGTGCAGACAGTAGCCAAAGTCAAATTGAAAAGAGAAGCATCATTCCTTCTATTCTGCATCAACGCCCAATCATTACTTCTTTCTTTGGGCCCTCTTTTCAATTCCAACCTTTTTCCCCCTTTCTTTCTTTTTCAACTTTATATGTACAATTAGACATTAAGATACACGCAAACATGTTAATCTTAGCTTTTAATTTTATAAGTTCATCTGCTGTTACCATACTAAGACAACTTGTTCATTGATAACTGCTTTTTCATTTATTTCTTATTTATCCACATTTTCATTTTAACAGTCTAAATCTTTTTACATGACAACAGATATTTTTGTACATTTATTCATAATCATTCCAATTCCAATGCCAATTTGTCAATCAAATCAATGTCCCACGCATATAAACAGACACAGACACACCCAAACAACCGCGAATAATCCAAGTTAGGCGTTACTTTTTTGCAGGTCTTTGGTTTCACACTGTAAAGTTGAGATGAGGAGAGAGATAAGAAGAAATGAAGCATATATATATATATATAGATATAGATGAGGGGATAATGTGATTGAAAATACTTTTTGGCAATCCTGAACAGATAAAGCATTCTTCTTAACCACAGCTGTGAATCTTATCCATCCAAAAAGGACACCAAACAAGAGTGAGAAAGGGGATTATATATGATATGCATATGATTGAGCTGTGCTGGTTCTTGGAGTGATTAGAGTGAAGAACACGCCCAGATAAATACAACTCACATGCATAAAAGCAGACAAGATTTTGAGTGCCCTGTGTTCCCCGTTTCCCTTCCAAGGCGTGCCTTCTCCTTCTCCTTCTTCCTCCTCCTCCTCGTCTTCTTCTTCGTCGTCCTTTTATTCTTGTTCTCTCTCTCTCTCTCTCTCTCATCGTCAACCTCAGTGCCCTCCGTGTCTGTCTTGCTACTGATTACCAATGGGTCTGAATATATGCCGGACCGCTTCTGCTATTTCATTCGCCGACGTCCCTACCCTGCACTCTTCTTCTATCTGCACCATCAATACCCTTTTGTACATATTTCTACTTCCATTACACTATAACATCAACCCAACAATCAAACCCACATGCATACAAAAGCTGACCTTTTTAATCTCGTTATTTTCAGAGTCCAGGATTAAGTCATCATTTTTGTTCTTTCATTATTCTGCATGTTTTAGGAATAAAACTTTTTTTCCTCTGAAAACACTGCCCTTATTCTGATTGATTGACATATAATAAAAGAAAAATTAGAGATAAATCCCTTGTTGCAAATTTAATTAGTAAATAGTCCCTGGAATGATTGATTGTGTGAGAAAAGATTACTTATACATAAAGAAAGATAAGTTGCACAAAAAAAAAAAGATGATTTACATAAAACAATTTGGATGTAAGGAATTAATTTGTATATAGAGAAGATGACTTGCACATAAAAAAATATCATTTGCTCAAAAGAAAATTGAATTACACATCGCATAAAGAAAGACTACTAGACACAAGAAAAGATAAATTACACACGAAGGAAACTAAGTTGCATGAAATCCTGAAGTCTCATTTGCTAAGTAAATTTTTAACGAGGATTTATCACCAATTTTTTCTATAATAAATTGAATATTAAAAAAAACGTGTCATGATAGGATCATATTGCTACCCTTGAGATTTTTTTTGGATGCTAAGCTTTTCATACTCTCAAAAACTTGGATAAATTGTACATGGCGTTTATCCATGAAATTATGAAAGCTGTAAAGGAGCTGTAAATTATACTATTCTTTTATTATTATAATTATACATATTTTAAAATATTTCAAAAATAAAGAATCTTAACCTCCTCAAAAGTACAGCCTAGCCGAAGAGGAAAAATAAAAAGAATCCAAAGAATAAATAAAAAATTGATTTTTTTAATAATCGTAGACATCGTTGGAAATGGGGAAGCTAGGTTTTGCTTAGGCTGCAAGTCAGAACACCGAAGAAGAACGGTACACTGACTCGATTCCCTTTTGATGAGTTGACCCTCTTTTTGTTTTTCAAAAAGCAACAAAATCGAAAGAAAAAGGAGGGGAAAGATAAAATAAAAGTAGACAAACGTGATACCTTGAGATTGAAACAGTAAAGTACCGATCCCAGCGAGGAGGTGATGTTGAGATGCAGAATGCTGAGCCTAAGATCTTCCAACCCAACAATGGCTCTCACCAATTGCCCCTGTTTCTTTGTGCATCGAATCTTCAAATTCACATGCGTCTGAATCACCATCACCTCTATGATCTCTGCTTCCTTCACCTCTTCTTCTTCGCCCCCAGTATTACACTCTACTTCTCCTTCTTCGTAGCTAAGCGTCGATGGTTTCACAGTCTCTCCATAAGGAGATCCAATCTCTTCGTTCTTTCTAATCCTCTTCTGTGCCTCGAGAGTTTGAAGTAGTTGCTCCAATTCCTTCACGAAATCAATTGCACCTCCGATGATAGACGCTTGGTCACCCTGAGAAATCAGACCAAAGATTGAATTTTTAACCTGAATTAGGAGAAAATAAACGATAATTTGAAGTGATGGGGTTTCGTTCAAATATTTTGTCATTACCCTTTGAATATAGGAAGGAGGCATGAGTGTCCTTAGAACACTGAGATGGTCGTTCATCTGGCGTCGCCGGTTCCGTTCGACAGCAATGTGGGTCATCCTCTGGTTCTCCACTTCTTCCTTGTTCTTCACAGGTCTCGTTCTCTTTCGCTTTCTCCGTTTGGGGTCTCTGCTAGAATTTTCAGCTTGATTGGTGGGTTCTTTCTGAACCATTGTGGCTGAACGAGGAAGAAGATGAGATTCTTCGTTGTTTTCGGATTTCACTGGCGAGGGGATCTCGACAACGTCGTGTGTGACGCAGCTTTCAAGTTCTTTGGCATGGAGTTGGGTCTCCAACCTGGGTATGTGAGCTTTTTCTTCCCATGCTGGTTGTTTCTTCAGGTTCTGTAGCCTCAAAAGTGTTTGAAAATTTGCCTCTGCGAATGGGAAAAACTGCTGTGGAGATTCCACACTCTGCAACATCTGCAGAAACGGCATCTTTTCATCCTCTAAGCTCGATATATAAGGTTGTTCCTCATCCTCTGCGTTGATGAAGCCTTGTTCGAAACAATTTACTTCCAAATGCTCACCAAAGAACTGCAAGACAAGTTATTGAGAACAAATAAGATAAGAGTTATTTATCTCATTTTTCAGACTAACCCAAAAAAAGCAAAGAATATAGCATATGCTTCCAATAGTGGGCTTCGGATTGAGGATCTCCAAAGAGAGGTGGGGCTATGAAAATCAGAACACAAATGGAATGTCAAAACAAGGAAAACACTAAACCAGTGCAGATATATATATTTCCTGGAAAATAACAGAATGTATTTAATGCAAGCGTTTTTTAGGGGAGTAAATGCAGTACTTTCCTTGATTCTAGAAATAGGGTTCGAGGCAATGAAAGGTGAAGAAGAGAGAAGAAAGACAGGCATGAAACTAGGAAAGTAACATACACAGGGATTGATGGGTCCTTGAATCCTCTCCATCATCAGAACTGAATGAGAGAGAGAGAAGAGAAGAGATCTTAATTAATTTCGCTCTCACTGTAGCTGGTGACCAACATTCCGTATAGTGATACTCACAAAACAATAGTAATAAATGTTTATCCCCAAAGAGGCAGAAGAAGAAGACGATATATTCCTCCCCTCGGCTATATATTCTTTTGTTTTCTGATGCTAACGATACTCTTATATATGGAATATAATAAATGCTGGTGCGTGAAGTGAAACAGCTACGACTCACGGCGCAGGGAGGTATAAATAGAAAACTGGTAATTTGGGTCAAATCGATGGTGATAAATAAGGAGGTTAACGGAGAGCTTTTGGTGAACAACGACGGGATATTGAACTCTCAGGCTGGGTTTCAACTTTAGATAGAAGAGATATAGCTGACGATGCATTTGAGAACTGTGACGAGTTGGTGAAAGCTTTTGAGAGTGAGAGAGAGAGAGAGGGTTGTCTGGTTTACAAGGTCCCGAGCATTATTGGGGGTGGCAGTTTTGTCCATCACAGGGCACGAACAGTTGTGGGACACACACACACACAAGCACAAGTCCCTCACCCTCACCCACACCCTCTCACGCGCTACCGAATTGATATTTTTTCCCAGGCAAGTATGTTGTGCATTATTTATGATAGACAGTAACATTTATAAATAGTGACAAGGTCTCCTTGGATTGAATATGAATTGAGGGCTTATTTAAAATAACTTATAAATAATTTTTTAATTATAATCTATGAAATCCAAGGTAGGCATTTGAGATAAATTTTGTCTCAATTTGCATAAAATATATTCATAATTGATGCCAAATAAGCACTTAGAAAATGTTTAAATTAATTTATTTTAAATAATTTTACGTTATACTTAGATAAATACTTAGGTCACCCTGTCAATTCTCCATAGCTCAAAATACTTAATTTTTTGTCATGAATTATTTGTGTCACTCCATTGGTTAAATCCAAAACTTAGGATAAGTTGTGTCTTGTGAAAAAGATAGACATTAAATTCATTCTCATCTCCTCCCATTTTTTGGCTACGTTTGTTCTTTTTTTTTTTTTAACTATGACTTTAATTTCTATAAATTCTGCATGACAAACTAAATGATAGTTGCAATTCATATGTCACTCCAAAAAGACTAAGAAGGTGTTTGGCATCACATAAAAATTTCTAAAAAGTATTTTTTTACAAATCGAGACAACTCTTTCATGTATTTATCTCGTATACTGTATAATTATTTTTAAAACTAATTTTCATCCTAACACTCTTTAAAAAGTAATGGCTTTAGGCTATGCCCCTCTTTCTCTTCGTATCTGACGTAGAGTGGGGGCGGGGCAGGGCAATGCAGGGAAAAAGCACCGGAAAGGGCTTCCGTGGCTCGTGTCACTCACTCATCTGATGAAGAGTCATTTCCCAATTTTTCCATAACCCCCCCTCCCCGGCTCTCTGAGGTCAAATTTTCATCCGGGAGAATAGAGATGATGGCTCATTTTTCCCCCTGCCTTGAGACCCCACTCGTCAATTGACGCAGCACATGGGGTGTGCAAGTACAGGGCTAACTAGCTAAGTTTCCTTTGTATAGCATGAGTAGGAGAAGGACACTAGACAGAATCTGTTCCATCTCTTTACAATTAAACAAGGACAAAAAGATCATTAGGGGCCTTATCTAGAGCTTCACGATGTGTCATAATCTACCCTCTGCTTTTACAATCCATACTCAGCTAAAAAGTATGTGATTGCCAAGTGCCAGTCCCAGTTGGTTCGCTTTGGCTAGACATCATCATGCCCTGCAATTTCAATTCTTATATTATCAGAAAACCGTATTTTTAGTCAACTTCTTCGGAGTTTTTTGACATTGAAATTCTTCTCACTCTATGATGCTCTGTTTCTGCATTGACCATTTTATATACACAAATGACAATCCTTGCTGTCATTTTGCCTGCAAAACACTAAAATGTGTAATTCTTTGCATGCACCGCTGCAGAGGAATTTGGTGTTTGGTAATGTTCAAGAAACAGAAGATACTCCTCTTTGTGGGCCCCCATCTATCGCTCTTTTCTTTTCAGTGCATCTTCTCTCCTAACTGTAGTCTGTGTGTTCCGTGAATAAACTTCTTGATGTTCAACCTCTGTGAGTAGGGTTTTGCTCATCTCTCTGCACATACTGAGATGTTGCATATTATTACTAGCGGAGAAAACCCCCCCCCCCAACATCAATTTCTATCTGTTCAATGTTAATTAATCCGTCTTCATGATTACAATAAACAGAAACCACACAAAACCAAGAAGAGAGTTGGTTGAAGTCAAGCTTTCAGAAATAGCACAAATGTTGATGCCTACAGAGAAGAGTCATTTTTGTTGCATAGACATGTCAGGCATTGTTCTGCTGCTGTGTGCTCTGTTTCTAATAATTGACTGCTTTTGGAGGGATGCCTGGTGCCACCAACTACATTACTACTTGAGTATTGATTGTGTCGGGACCTAAAGCTTTTTGTTTTGTTTTCCCTCATGGAGGCCCCCAAACTGGATCTCATACTCCTACTAACTAAGTTTTAAAAACCTTCCTTTCCCTTCATCTATCCCAATTCTAATTCTATCTTTTAGGGTCTCTTTTGCTGTTAGTTTCGTTTCCTAAATGTAATGCCAGCCTCTTCTTTGATTCTTGGAGGATTATGCTGGGGATGAGATTCTCCCTATTAATGATCAGATTCTCCCTATTAAAAGCGATGTGTGAGATGCGTGTTTTAAGCAAGCTAATGAGAACTAGACAGCATGCACAATTGGAAAATCAGCAAGCTAAAGATTAGTGGAATCACTGCTTTTACTAGGTAGAATTTGATGATTGATTCAGATTTTAAAACTGCAGTTTTAACATGCTCAACATCAACATTACTATGATGAAAAAGAATAAAACTTGTAATCTAACTGGAGCATAGAACTATTTCTTTATCTTTTTTCAGATAACTTCATATTATATGATTTGCTTCCCCATCCTCACCGCGCCAATAATGGCCCTCTTTGTACATACTCAATTTACCTCAAGTGATTTTCTCTTCAATAGATATCACACTAACTCTTCTTCATGTATGTTTATTGTGACTCTAAACTTTTCTTTTATGAATATACATTTATCTCAACCTACTCATCTAAGCTATCCTAACTTTATGCTCTTCTAGTTTGTTTAAAACCTAATATTCATTATCACATAGCATTGTTGATTTAGTAGTAGTTTGGTAAAACTTTCCTTCTAACTAATTACCTTGTTAAGTACTTTGGTATTACAAATAATCTATGAGTAATATCTCTATCAATGCAAGGCATAAAGCTGCAATTGAGGACCCTCCATGGGGGGTGATAAAAATGAAGAAAGGCTGTGAAATTTTGGGTTAAAAATAATATACATGAAACTTGACGCTCTTGATAATGCGAAATACAGGGGGGACCCTGGTTGACTTAGCAGATTCGGATAATCTAGTATATCATGAGCCACGTCTCTGTATGATGAACCAAAGAAAACGGAAACCTAATCTCTGGCCTCAAAACACCTCCCTAGTCTATCCATTCATCTCTTTTGTCATAGCCAGAACCAATATACTATCATCCAAAATCATTAAACACAAAATCTTTCTCACATTATGTATTAGAAAAGGCCTAATAAAGACAACCTACTGAAGCTTCAATCCATGTTATCAATCTGTTCACTGCTGCAGAAGCAAAGTTTTCCCTTTTCTGTCGTATAAGGCCGTTCATATCGTCTCAAGTTTCCTTTTCTCTCGGTAATCATATTCCCAGTGTCCAAACCCATCAGCTTTTTACGTCGTGGGCACTAGGAAGCAATTGAATGGAGTATATTCTCTATCCATTTTGCTTGTGAAGATCTTTTTCTGTTTTTGGGAATTGAATAATTTAACTAGCAAGCTGAGTTTAGGTCCCTATTTTATTCAATAAGGATGAAGATAGATTCCACCAAATAGATAGGCCTTCACTTGGAAACTCCAAAATCATTTGAATTCCTGAGAATCTTATCTCTTGGGTTTGGGGCTGCGGCTCCAGCCACACAATCACAGAAATTCTTTTCTCCGAAACATGATGTTTGTCCTCTAGGTTTCACAGGATGGTCAATTTATGCATAGGATTCGAGGTAAATTTTTCCCAAAAGATTCTGAGGTAACTTCACCCTGTTTTATTACAAGCATCACAGCGATTAATTCCACTAAAATAATACTTGACATATTGATAAATTTCTTTATAAATCTGTTTGATCCATAAAAGTTTAGTTAGTTTCTTTAATAACAAGATTCAAACATGACATGTTTTATTTTTCTTAAAAAAAAAAGAATTCATCATGCAATTCATCATGCGCGTCCCCATTCTCACCAGGCTGTCCAGTAACTCTACAAGTGAGGGGGAAAATGGAGACTGATTCAAAACAGAAAATAATAAATAATAAAATTTATAACGTTATTATTTTGTGCGGTGAAGATGCAATAATGGAAAGTTGAAAGCGGGGTAAGCCAGGTCTGTAAATCTGCACCAAACACTCTGAAATGGTATGGTAGCTATCAGGAAAACAACTAAGGACGTAGACATGCTCATGTGGTGTTGATACCTTCAACTTTGTCACTATTTCTATTTAAAACATACTGTACTGTGTGGTGGGACCCTCTTTGCTCCTGGCGTGGCTAAAATCTTGATCGAGACTTCAACCAACTTTTTGAAGGCTATGGGCCTGGATATGTATGGGAGCTGAAAGGGAACAAAAAGGAACGACACAAATTCAAATAGAAGAAAAAATGAGAGAGAGAAACATGGTTAAATAATGTGTTTTTAATTTCCTTGGCTTGGCAGGAAATTTCTCTTAAGAGAAGAGAATTCCATTGTTTCCATTTCATCGTTTTGGAGCGATGGTTAAGAAAACGCCATGATAAAGAGAAATTTTCAATTTCTGCTTCTCTAAAATCTGGCAAAGACCCGCGTCCTCGTATTTGCACATTTCGATCTGTAGGACTTTAGAGGAAGAAACTTTTTGAATGTAAAATCAACATCAGAGTGATTATGTAATGCATTTGAATACAAAATAATACCCTTAAAGTCTTTCCACCTAAAATTGTCAGAGTGATTATCGGATGCTCTTGAAACCGACAAGGCGTGATTTGTCAAAGGCAACTAATGAAAGCTTTCAGCGACCAACATCCAAAACTTGCCCAAAAGAATACAGGATATCACACATACAGAGAGAGACACAGGTGGGAAAAAGCAAGGATTTGAATTTACGATACATGCTAAACTACATACAGCCATGCAATTCCGAATCTAGTGATTCGGATGCCAAGATTTATTATAACGTACTGGAGTTCAGTGCAGCACTTTACATCTCTCATGTCAAATTCTACAACTAAAACATGACAAATATAAGAATCTTCACTCTTAGTTTCAGAGCTTCTTGATAAGAGATAATACAAGATACTGCTTAAATTTTTCCCTGCCACCACACAGAAGGTTTGAGTAGCAACGACACAATGCGTAAAGTCTAACCAGATCTTTCCCTCTAAAAATCATCACTCCCCAGAACCCAAACAAATATGCTAACGCTCTATCTGAACAGTTACATGGCTGATGTTATAAACCCTCCTTATGTAGTCTACAACCTTGTCCAGCACCATATCTGCATCTGCTTCAGGTCTGATTTTAACGTGACAAGCCAACAAAATCTTGCCCACTGTAATTGCCCATATATGCAGCTCGTGAACAGCCACTACTTCATCCATCTCTAACAGACCCCTCTCCAACTTGGTCGCATCGATCTCACGTGGTGTGCTCTCCATCAGAACTTCAAGAATGCTTCGCAGCATATTGATTGTTGTTAACAAAACAATTACTGAAAAAATAAGAGTGCAAATTAGATCAACTATTTGCCACTCCGGCTTGTACCAAATGATAGCTCCCCCAACCATTACTCCAACGCTTTGGATTGAGTCCCCCAGAACATGGAGATACGCCCCTCGTACATTTATGTTCCATCGCCTCTTCTTTTCTGGTTTGTCTTTTGATCCACCACCAAGAAGTGGCTCAGCAGCACTGTCATGACTGTGATGATGCTTATCATCCTCATGAGAATGATGATGATGCTCATGTTGAGGATCCTCTTCATCATGATGATGGTGCTTGTGATCCTCACCACTATGATGATCATGATGAGTTGACGCTTTAAACCCATGACCATGGTTGTGGCCATGGCCTAAACCATGATGATGATCATCATGTCCATGGCTATGATCATGACCCAATAACAAAGCCATGATGATGTTAACCACCAGACCAAATGCTGCGACCAAAAACATTAAGAAGCCATTCACCTTGTGAGAACCATCAATGATTCTTGCAATGGCTTCGTATACGAGAATCCCTGCAAGCAGCCATATTAGCTGAATAGAAACCAAGGCACCAAGAATCTCTATTCTAAAAAATCCATATGACTGACGGGGTGTGGCTTCCCATCCAGCAGCCCATAAAGAGAACAAGGAGATGGCAAATGCTGCGACATCTGAAAGCAAATGGGCTGCATCAGTCAGAATTGCTAGACTATTGGCTTTAATGCCACCAAATACTTCAACACTCATGAAAATGACACAGAGGATCACTGCAGTCCAAAGCTTTCGCATTGATGTTGATCGTTCTTTAGAATCCTTTGAGATGGACCCAGCATCTGCAAATCCACATGGTGCTTCCCCACAAATCTTGGTTCCTCCGGGATTTCTTCTTCCTTCAGGAAAATCACCACTGACTTCAGTAATTTGGGCATGTTGAGAGCTTTGTGCTTCCATCTGAGACACCAACAGGAAAGTGTAATATTCCTTCAGTTGCGTAAAAATAAACAAAAAGGGCCCCAAAAACACAAAACCAGTGTATGAGAGGGAAGAATTGTATGTCAAAAGGAATATGATTCCAAATGCACTAAAGAAAAGAAAAAAGGAATTCAAAGAAATTCAGCAAATAGCAAAACTCAATAAATCCACTATGTACAGCACAGCGGCTGTGTCAACCATAATCCAACAATACAGCTAGGGTTAACATTAGATTCTGATGATTTTCTAAATCATCCTAAAAGAATCAAAACTGTCATAAGGGTTATATTCTAAGTCAACACATAAAATTCTTTAGTTTGAAGATAATTTTGCATTATTGGAATTGAAATAGAATAGAATTTCCAACCCAAAGTAACAATACACCAGAACCAACGCTCATCTTCACTGCTTCATACTTATATAAACACACTAGAAACATTCAATAGGCTAGATAATTTTAGGAATAAGCTAAACAGCTATCAACTTCCCTACCACAGACACTAAACAATAACAGCACATGGAGAACACATACTAAGAACAAGCAAGCAGACACTCTCCATTCAGTTTTTGAATGGTGAGGCAGCAATCATGGCTACCTCATCCATTATTTTTATCCTGCATCTCCCAGATGCAACACATGGACAACCGTTTGTTTCTTTTCTGCCTTTTCAACAGAAGAAAAGACAACATTCTGGAAGGGATTTTAACCCCTGTGTTTTTGCAGCAACAAACACAAGTTAGCTCCATGAAAGACAGCCTTTTGCACTACCTGGGCTGCGTGTCCAGATCAGCATGCTTTGAAGGAGGGAGGGACATGCAGCGGCCATCATTCGGCATTTTGAATGATAACTGTATGTTTCAGGTGTGTTTATATAAATAAAAAAGAAATAAGCTACACGGCTATCAAGTCCCCCTATCACCAACACCAAGCAAAACAGTTATGGTGCACACAGAATGCAAACTAAGAACAAGGACTGGTAGGATCTGGTTTTCAAGCAAGTTACACTGAGTTTACACTAAGCCCATTGTATATGCATTAATCAACTAAGTAAAACTGTACTTTAAGTTACACACACACACACAACACACACACACACACACACACACACACACAAAAGATTATCTAGGCACGTTAATAATGAAATAAGTAGACCTCAAGAATTGATACTTGAACAATGCATCTTTAAATGGCCGTTGAGCAGGCAATGCATTGTTGAAGGGATAGACAAGAGCAACATTGATTTCAGATCTTACACCATAACGGATACTGGATCACATGCCATTACAGATATTCAACTCCTAAAGATTAGGTATAGGAAGAGAAAAACCAAAAACTACCATTCTGCGCATTGAAAAGATATTAATTTTTAAGCTCAGCCCTAAAATAAGAACAACAAAATTGAAGTTAAGAGAAAATAAAACACCAAGTTTGGTAGACAATAAGAGGCAAGCAAAGTAATAAGCACTTCCAAACCAAAGGCGAACCAATACAAGTGCTGCCAATCTAGTGTCTTGACACAAAAATCCCAAGTCCAGAAAGACGCGAAATAACAGCCTTTACAATGTCAACCCATGACCACCAAGTTAAGGATCGTCAAATGATAGATCAGCAAAGCAATATTAGTGAACAGCATAACAAATATCTCCATGCCACACGAAAACATTAACAAAAGAATAACACTTTGACTTCTTAGGGTTCACGAAGAATGAAGAAACAGGCATAATTGATACAGCAAACAATACCTCCAGCAACAACACAAATAATTGCACTCAGAAGCAAGCAGCATGAACTTTTTCGCCAGTCCCAACGTTGAAAGGTTCTATCTAAAAGATGCTCCTAGATGAACATAAAGATTTGCTCATAAAAAAAGATATAAAGCAACGGTACTAGTATTTAATTGATTAGGTGACTCGACACCTTGTTCTCACATCCATTTTAACGTCGAACAGAAACCAGAATGACCTTAAGATTCTTGACAAAGTATGCTGACAAAATTACAAATCTGCAACAGCATAACAAGAAGACTCACTTAAATAAGAAAAACAGAAGTCACCTAACAATAGTTTATCAGACAAATAGCAACCAGCCGATTCCGCATAAAATTAACAATAAAGCCTTGAGCTTTCCGACAAGATAAAACGAAGTCATGAGTCCAGTAGTTGAACGACATAAGACAGGGAAATAAGTCTTACATTGCTGGCACCGCCTGTCACTTGACTTCGAGCTTGTTCTTGCATTTTCAAGTATCAAGCTTGGGTTCAAACATTTATATCATTCACTCCACTCTTATGCTAGCAACAAGGGGGAACATGACGACGGAATTGATCAAATGGAATCTGAAAAAGACGGGGAGAAATGAAAGAAATTCAGGGATATAACTCAACCATCTTGCGCACAGATTAAATTATCTCAAACAGAAGGGAAAAGGACAAATAGAAAGGAGGTGGAAAGTGGGCGACTCGCAAGAGATAAATCATTACACAAACTTTTCACCCAACGCGAGAACTAATGAGTAAAGAAAAGAAAAGACGGCTCTTAACCGGACTCATTCTTTTCCCTCATTATGATGAGAAAAAGTAATACGGTTCTACTGAATCCACTGGCATGCTCCTGGGGATGAACTTGACAGTATGCGGGTGGCTGGCACCAAGGTTACGAATCTGAAGCCAGGTTTGGTGGAGTCATCGTATGACCCCTAGAAGGCTCTGGGATTCGCATAATCTGTCTGCCCAATCCACCAAGCTTCAAGGATTCATAAACAAAAACTAACAAACCCAAATGCGGGGCCAATTTTTTTTCCCCCAAAAATGCGTGGCAAAATTCAAAGAATAAAGTGAATGAATTGAAAAGTTGCTTTCCTTTTTAATTTTTTAAAGATTATATTTTATTTAGTTTCTGACCGAATAATTTATTCATGAAGTAATAATATCATAGATTTTTAAGATCTGATATTTAAAATTTATACTTCTCACTTCTGTAGTTGGTTGGTATCATTAGGAAGGAAAGATTCCTGTGCATTCTCATTTGGTAAACGTATTTTCATTTTTAATTAGGTGATCATCCAGTAATTATTCATTTCTTAACTTATATATTCTTTTTATTTAAATCATTGTACTACCTTCGTTCTTAATATAAGACCTTATTTGATTTTATTTTAATCCTAAATATAAGACTCCAATTCACTTTGTCTCTCATATTTATAATTTTTTTAAGGTAGTCCTTCTAATAATAGTAATTCTGGCCAATACACTTGATTAGCAGGGATATTTTAGAAAAAACAATACCTATTTATTACAAATTACTAACTTAACTTGTTTTCTTAATTTTCTTAAATTAGTCAACTAGCTCTTATAATTAAAACTGGAGGTAGTGTAATACGTCAAAACTAGTCAATCAATAAACCATATCACATTGATTTTTTCTAATTTGTACTCATTCGTATTTTATATTGTAGGACCACGTGTTATTAATTCGTTTAGTTTTTAATAATATATGTTATCCATCATATTAAGTGAGAATGGGCACATATAATTATTATGAAATATGAAATCCTGCTATCCTCACTTCACATGTAAATTTTTCAATGCGAAATAGTAAATTATAGAATTTACATTATTTATGAACTAGACAATTTTTACTAGATTATTTCATGAGAAATGAGTCACAAAATTTAAGATTTAATTATATGCTAAACATGTTTTTCATATATTACACGAAAGTTGAAAAATACTTTATATTGTCAATAACTTATAAATAGTATATAACTTACTGCATGTTTAAACACACACACATATATATATTGGCATATCCATGTATTAAGGATATTGATTAGGGAGAATTATAATAAGGTCCCAAGTAAAAAAGATAATTATTTCTTTTTTGTGGGACTTGATTATAATTCTTTTTATTGATATTATATATGTATTGGGATGCATTTCCAGAAAATCTTAAAGCCTAAAAATGACTTCCATCAATTGTGAAATATGAATTACAAAACCCACATTATATACATAGAGAGAGGGACGTTTTGTTGTTACTTTATCAAGAGTCGTTCGAAGCAGAATATTTTAGCAAACTTTTTAAAAAGGTGACTGAATATAAGAAGGATAAGATTATAATTCTGATACATTATTTTTCTTGCATCTTTTATTTTATTTCACATCTTTTCCACCAACTTTTGAAAGGACAGGGCTGCCAACACAATCTTTACTTTTTTTTTTCCCAAAATATTCCTTCCAATTATTAACGTGAAAATTAGTATATAAAATTATTTTAATTTTAAATATAGAATCTCAATTTATTTTTTAATCTATAAGTTCTTTCAAACTATTTTTATTAAGTATAAATATTAAATTAAATTACTTATTTAATTTCTAATACATGTGATTAAATAAAGTTTTTTTTAAAAATTAACACGTATTTTTATTAAAAAAAATAACACAGTTAATTTTTTTTAATTGCTATAAGTTATTTGCTTAGCCCCTGCATTTAAAATTAGAAGGAACAATAATATTGACGATGATACCTGACATTTTTGTTGAAAATAAGTTGGGCAAATCATATCTATAGTTATAAATTTAAGTACATGAGTGGCCAATTAGCCTTATATTATTTTTGCCATCACAATTGCCCGGATTATATTGATATAAAATGGGAAGAGAGAGGAAAGAGATCAGAAAGAGTAGAGAAATGGAAATAGGGAACGGAGAAGAGGAAAAAGAGAAAAAGATATTTGCAATATCATTCAATATCTAAAATTTGTTGTAGAATAAAAATCCTAAATCTAATTATACTTAAACAATAATAAAAAAATAAAATAAATAAAATAAAAATATTAAAATACTAATAAATTTAAATAAATCATAAGATGATAATAAATTCAAATAACTCAAATATCCTAGAAATATAATAAAATCATTTTTTTTTCATATCTCATCACATATCTATTTCCTTTTTCTGCTTTTATCCCTAAAGTGAAGCTAAAATGGGTATGGTGCAATTAAAATGGATGAATTGCTGTGTTGATTGTTAATATGATACCCATCCATTTAATGATGGCTTCCTTCCGTTTGAGTAAACAATGCCATGATAAACGTTTCCTTTTATTATTATTTTGATTACTTTCCCAATGCAACTCACTTTAAAATGATTGCCAGTACTCACGGGAGATTTTTAATATTTTAAAATATATTTTAAACCAATAACTAAATCTACTAGATAAATATATGATTATTTAGTTTAATTAATAAAGCAAAACAAGTGTTTATATGGAATGTGTGAGTATTCAAAAAGATCCCTGGTTATTTACAAATATCACAATTTATTATAAAAATTATATAATTTATTGATTGATGATTACATCAGAAGTTGGCCTGTGAGTTGCCCTGCATTCCATGACCTTGTTGGCTCCTAATGCTTAATATTGATCACGGTGTTATGAATATTATAACATGTGGATATCCATCTCCTCTTCTTTCTCTTCCTCTCAACTTTATCATCAACTCCCACTACTTCTACTAGGCATTAATCTTCCACTAATCCATTACCTTTCCACTATGCCTTTAATCCTGTAACTCCCCCACTCATATTCATGTGGTTTATTGTCCACTATCTATCATTTAAGTACAAATGTAACTTATGTGTAAGACTATGCCTATAAATAAGGCGTGCCATTATTGTGATGCAAGTGAAGCAAGTGAAGGAATGCAATATCATTTTCTTATTTTCTTGTCTACTTCTCTTCTCCAATCTAATTTCATTGTTGGTTAATTTCATAACAAGAGAACATGTTTGTTAATTAATACTCAAAAACTAGGCGAGCAAATCAAACTTAAAATGATCCAGCTAATTAATAAAAAAAATATAGTACTCCTCCGGTCCTTAATACAGGATCTAATTGTTAAGTTAATTTTGGTCTTAAATATAATATCTATTTCTCATATTTATCAATTTTTTCAAAATTATCCTTATAGATACTCACTCAATCATAATCAAGTAAGGAAGGAAGGAAATATATTGAGAAAGAAAATTATGATATTTTAGGAAAAATATGTCATATTTTTTATAATTAACTAACTTGCCTAACTTCTTTAATCTAATCAAATAGTTAAATATATTTTATATTAAGGATCGGAGGAGTAGTATTTTATACTAAAGATGTTGATATCAATTGATGACACTAATTGACATATCATACAAATCTCTTTGTTTTACATATTATGAAAACAAACAGATATATCTGTGAATGTCATCTCGGAGTCAAGTGAAAGCTATTGATATCCGTGTGTTGTCGTTCAAGTTCCCGTGCATAAGGTAAATGTGGGATGCTTCTAGTGCCATTAAAAAATAAAAAAATGAAAAGATCTGAACAATTCTTTTTTTTTTTTTAACCAGCAAGATTTGAACACTTCAAATGAAAAGGAAATATAGAGAATACTAATCAAAGCATGAAGATTGGCTGGAGATCCATTATGTGGAGCATGTGTGTGTTTTGATGTTGATATGCTGTCTCCATAACTTGTCTCTTTGTGATAATGCTACTGTCCTTTTCGTATTTATGTGTTTGGCTTGCCGTCTTCCGGTTCCGTGTCCCCTTTTTCCTGCTTTAAAAAACAAGACTTCAATCTTTTAAATCCCGGGTCAAATATCAAAGTTATTTTAATCGTAATATTATCGCATAATAAATTTTACAATTTTTTTTTTAAAAGAAGAAAGCGATCGGATACTAAATGAGAATACTTACATATAGATCCTACGGAAGAATATTTAATATTAATAGGATTCATGAAACTTAATTTTTACTAGTCAGACTTCCATATTTATAAATTTAGGTTGTCTCCTTCATGAATCAGATTTACAAATTAATATATACAACTTTTATTTTTATATTTATTAGTTGAGTCATGTGATTTACAAATTTACCTGATAAATATTAATTTTTAAAAAAATTTATCGGTATTAAATAAAAGTTGGTAGCCTTTTTTTTTCCCCAGTACATAACAAATTGGTAGGAATTCATTCTTTTTGGCTATGCATAGAAGGTAATTCTGTTTGAGATACTTTTAAAAACTAAATGTGAATATACTTTTTGATAAAAATTTAAATATTAATTTAATACGTTAATCGGCCGATGGCCATCAATAATTTGTATGCATTTTAGGTAATGGAAATTATAATAGCTGCTGCGTGGATCTTGTTTCTTAGTTTTGTAGCCCAGCCCATTATCAAATTAAGATGTAGCCCGGCCCATTACTGACTTTTCAGATAGCCCAAATGGCTGATCCACATTAGTAGGAGGAACATGAGCCAATTTTTGTCCATCACTTTATAACGGGACTTTGGAAAATTTACAATTTTACGTAGAATGTGAATGCGTAAGAATCAAGTTATAAACCTTAAAAGTGAAAAATAATAACGACTTTGTTAATTGAGCGGCGTGAATTTATTTATATTAAAATACTTAAGTAAATGGCACGAAGATTCGCACTTAATTCACAAGCGAAGGAGAAGTGTAAGCTGTGGCCCATTCACACTGATTAGTCACGTCGTCTTCCATCTATTTTAAAGTTTAATCACAGAATCAGGTGCTAATGCAAATGCTTTACTCTCAGAATCTTACCTCCCTACATTTTTCAAAAGAAAAAAGGAAAAAAAAAAAAAAAAGAAAAGAAGGCGAATCTTACATATTTTATCATTGTTTCTTCATAGATGCCATGCCCATATTGGGGGAACCTACCCAGGCGCCTTTTTTCTGAGATTTTTCAAACTAACAGTATCGTCAATCCTTAATACTATTACTATCCGCTCAAATTTTGAATTTCCGACTCTTTTAGTACTGGAAAATAATAAAAATTAAATAATAATTTATATATAAACATATATTGTGTTCTTGAACACAAAATAATAAATTTACATCGTGTAAAAAAATTCGCACCCTCATCCGCACCAAAGGAACTGTAACGCCAATTAGTTCAAAGTTCAAAGTGAGTGACCGTTAAAATCATACATATTACATATTACCTTTGGTCCTAATTATAAGACCTCGTTTATAGCCTATAAATAAGGTTTTTATAATTAAGACTGGAGGTAATACTTCTTAATCCATATTATTAAAATAATTGAAAGTTACTTATAATAAATAAATGTTATCTTTCTTAGAATACTCTTATTAATCATGTGTATTGGCTAAAACTACCATTTGATAGAACCTTTAACATGTACAATTACTACAAGGACTACTTTTAAAAAAATAAATAAATATAAAAAACAAAATGAATTGAGGTTTTATATTTAAAATTAAATTAATAGTCAAATTAATCCATATATATGATTCAAATAACTGAATGCTCTAGATTGCGTAGAATAAAAAAATATAAATAAACTCTCGACTAAATATGATCATATAAATATTATTTTAAGCATTTGGCAAGACTTGTCACAGGTGAATTATTTTTAACTTTTAAAATCAGGTATTTTATTCATATCTATCTCTAATTTTTACAGGGTCACCAAATGATTGGTTAATTGTAATTAAATTGGTAAGTCCTATACGTTGAGTTGAGTTTAAGGAGCAAGATGAACCACGCTTATACATGCAGGTTGTTGTGAATAAAACGGGTTATTATAAATTTTACCCACACATCCAATCGAATTCGATCGTGAATTAACAAGTGCAAGAAGCTACTTAAGTAGAGATATTTTGCTGCTAAAATCTCGCAATTGCATGAATTGAAATCCTTAAAAAGAATTAGGGGGATTAAGAACAAGAACAGATACAACTAACGTTCTGGTATATATATAATTATGATATGATGCAACCGTCAAGAAAATTGAAGTACAATATCTGTCACGGAAAAACAAAGATATGCGAGTATGCTGTAAGCACGAAGATCCAAAACAAATCAAAGAAAATGAAGAGTACATGAGAGGAAGTAAATGATCCAGAAAACTGTATGTATTAACTCTTTAATGGAGCCTTCGCAGCACAATCTTCTTCATACATCGACGTAGCATGCCGGAGCTCCGGTGAGAGGAACCTGACCGGATACCCCTTTCTTCAAGCTCATCATGACGTCGCACTTCACGTAAATCCCATAATGCCCTGTTTTTATACCTCCGGTCTTCCACCTCAACTTGCCCTGCATGATCACGCTCACCCCAACGACACCATAAGCTTCATCCGTCGCCAACCCATTTGACACATCCGGAGAAACCGGCACCGGCGACCCTCCTAGCATTGGCGACAGTGACACCGAGCTGTGGACCTCCATGTACAGCGGTGGAAGCGCCATCGGCGTTGTGATGGGGTCGTTCCGGTACGACACATAAACGTTGAGGGTGTCGAAGTAGATGGCGACGCGCCTGTTGGGGTTCGTTATGATGATAGTGAACTGCATGGAGGTAGTCATGAGCGGTGGGGCTTTGGCGTTGAGGCCATACACGGCGGCACCGACCACATCAAAGTGGGGCTTTGTGGGGCGATAGACGAGCCACAGGACAAGGATTACGAGGCCGGCTAATAGGAGGACGGTGGCGATACAGGCGCAGAGGGCCCGCCGGTTGGGCTCCTCCGGCCGGTATCTTGAGCCCATGGGTTTGGGCATGGGCATGGGCTTTACTGGAGTCGGTGGGGGTTGAGAATTTTGGTTTGGCCGACTGTTGGGGTTTTGCTCCTGTGGAGGAGGAGGAGGAGGATCCGCCATTGATATAGCAAGTTAAAAGGAGATGTGTGTCTGTGTATGGATGTGACTTTAGAAAGAGAAAGAGTGGGGGCTAGCGAACAATGTTGAAACTGGAGGACAGTGAAGTCCAAATTGATGGACCAGAGAGAGTTATCATATAAACAACAGAAATTGGAATCGGGTCACTTGCAGCCCAAGTAGAAGGCAGGTTTATCAAACGGTTTATCCGCTAGGTGATTGTTGAGTTGGCATGAATGTAGGCTATATGTTACTGGTGAGCTTTTTGCTTTTGCTTTTCACTGGGAGGGACAAAGAATACAGAATAGTAGTGGGGAGTGGAGGGAGCAAAAGGAGAGCGGAAATGTGTCGCATATGGCATGGGTTCAATTTTTTATGGATTAACCAAATGTATTTGCAGACAGAGTATTAGAAAATCGAATACTGAATGCGAGTTGGCTTTGCAGGAACAGAAAAGTGCATAGAGCGTTCCTCACGGAAAGGATTCGGGTCTAGAAGGAAAGAAAAGGTCCGCATGCAAATGCGATGCCGGATCAAAATTGGCAAAATATCTACACGCCACGTCTTAGAAATAAGTTTTTTTTTTGTATTATTAGACAAATTGTGTCCAAATAATTTTACTGAATTATTACGGCCATGTTCAGCAATTTGAACGCAAGAGATTGCTTGCTCACAAAACTAGAACAGCGCATGATGAGAAATAAAACCCATGGGCATATGTTAGCAGTATTCATGGAAGTGAAACCCACACAGTAATGTAAGAATTAACATCAATCAATTTTACAGTCAACGACCAAGACATGCCTAGATACCCAAGATAAGCCTTCGACCCAAAAGAAAGCAGGCCTCTTATGCGGAAAGGTCCAAACTCGGCAATTCATCTGCATGTCTTCGTCAGCCTTCCTCGCTCTTGCTCTTTTCGATTCCGAAACCAGAAGCAGAAGAGATGCCCAGACCAAATCTTCGTTCCTTCAACACCATAGCAACCGTCTCTTCTGTTAATATCTTACCTCTAAGGAAACACCCATTGATCCTCTTCTTCTCCTCACTGCCTCATCAGTTGCAGAGCCCAATTCAACACCAGAAACATCAACAAGCTTTCGATTCCTCCAATACAGATGGTTCAAATTCATCAATTGGGTCTCCTGTCAGAGTCCAGAAGCTCATAGCTTCGCAACGGGACCCTCTACTGGCAAAGGAAATCTTCGAGTATGCCTCTCGCCAACCCAACTTCCGTCACTCTTACTCTACCTACCTCATTCTCATTCTCAAATTGGGTCGCGCCAGATACTTCTCCCTCGTTGATGATCTCCTTCGTCGCTTGAAATCGGATTCGCAACCCATTACTCCGACACTCTTTTCATACTTAATCAAAGTCTACGGTGAAGCTGATTTGCCCGATAAAGCCCTCAAAACCTTCTATACTATGATGCAATTCGATTGCAAACCTTTACCCAAACACCTGAACCGCATTCTTGAAGTTCTCGTGGCGCACAGGAATTATGTGCGACCCGCTTTTGATCTCTTCAGAGATGCCCATAGGTATGGCGTTTTGCCTAATACAAGGTCATACAATATTTTGATGCGGGCATTCTGTTTAAATGGGGACATAAGTATTGCCTACTCACTGTTCAACAAAATGTTCAAGAGAGATCTCGTTCCAGATATAGATTCTTATAGGATTTTGATGCAGGGATTGTGTAGGAAGAGTCAAGTAAATGGGGCCGTTGATTTGTTGGAGGATATGTTGAACAAAGGGTTTGTGCCAGATACTTTAACTTATACTACTTTGCTGAATAGTTTGTGTAGGAAGAAGAAGCTCAGAGAAGCGTACAAACTTCTTTGTAGGATGAAGGTTAAGGGTTGTAATCCTGACATTGTTCATTATAATACTCTTATATTAGGGTTCTGCAGGGAAGGGCGTGCTCATGATGCTTGTAAGGTTATTGATGACATGCAGTCAAATGGTTGTTTACCTAATTTGGTGTCTTATCGTACTTTAACAAGTGGTTTATGCGATGAGGAAATGTTTGATGAGGCAAACAAATACATGGATGAGATGTTATCAAAAGGTTTTTCTCCCCATTTCTCTGTTATTCATGCCTTAGTTAAGGGCTACTGCAATGTTGGTAAGATTGATGAAGCTTGTAGGGTACTCAGTAAATCACTAGAGCACGGGGAAGTGCCTCATATGGATAGTTGGGCCATCATAGTACCTAGAGTCTGTGAAGTAGAGGAGAATGTGAGGACGAGGGATATTTTGGAAGAAGTTCTGAAGATTAAAATAAAAGGTGACACTAGAATAGTGGAGGCTGGCATCGGTTTGGAGAATTACTTGATTGGGAAGATACGAGCTAAGTCAAGGGAACGTTAATATATTTCGTCTACATGTCATGGCTTACAATTTGTTTCTGACATCTGTTTCTTCATGTTGGATCCTGCTTATTTTGTCTCAGGTGAGATTCATTGTTGGTATGGGTACTCTAATGGCTTCTCGCGCGTCCATTTGTATATATATGATCTTACATAAATGTTGTTTTTGGGATTCCGACGGGCTAATTTATACAATCTAATCTTCCACATTATGTGTTGCATAAGACGCTTTGACCATGTGTTTGGATAGAACACTTGTTTAGCTACACTGCAATTTTAATAGCTACAATTGGTGTAGGTATTCACATTATGAAAAGAAATGCCACCATGTTTGTAAGCCCTAACCATTCATTACTGCTGTTATATCTTCAAGGCTGTTTGGATATGCTACTTACATGACAGGCGTTTCATATCAATTTATAAGTAGGATGAATGCAAATGCTACTTACATTCCCGAGTCCATATTCACTGCTCGCCAAAATTACAGTTCTGATAGAAATACGGAATTCAAAATTTACTCCTTTTCTTTCAACATACAATTCAAAATTTACTAAATGAACTACTGCCCTTGCAACGCCTTTGATATTTGCTGACTGCCAGTTGAAAGACGACAAAAACAAGAGCAGGGATCCAAATCTTGATGACGCTGCCAAAGGAATAAATAAATAACTTTTTCTTCAGCATTACATTTTTCACGTGCGATAAGTTCTCAACTTTAGAAACTTTGATCCGATCTGAAACAAATAAAATTGTAGTTATCATTGTACAGAAATTTAAACTCAGGTTCACGTAACTTAGCATGAGCCAAACAGATTCACTCTATTTTAACATTAATTTTTTTTTCAAAAAAGGAGAGTTTTTAAGGTAGATAGCTATTGGTCACATACGAAGGATCCAGACTTATGGAAACACATAATTATGGAACTCGTGCGTTTTGCCTCCCCCCCCCCCCGGGGGGGGGGGGGTTGTTTATAGTTTTACAACTAGATAGCCCAGTATATGATAACGCTGGAGCAGATCATGTCCACTGCCAAGGATCTAAGAAATTAGTCGCCCTACTCATGATTTTGGTTAGAGTTTATATAGTAAAACCAATCTAATTTTTTTGACCACAAAACTCAACTATAGGACATGACATGATTAGAACATCGCAATACAATAAAAAATGAAGTTGAAATTCCATGCTCAACGGTCTTGAAACAAGGATCTTCACTGGACTTACACCGAAAGCTCCGGCTATGGCCCGGTCCTCTCTACGCCTTCTCTCACTACTATTGTACGGCCACGAAGTTCCTGCAACAAGAACCAAGTTAGGTAATGGAAGCTAACAACTGAAGTAATAAGCACAGAGCAGGAAAAGTGGAGGAAGCAAAGTTTACGGTTCCATTAAGAGACATTGCTGCATCACGTTCTGACTGTGAAAGGAAGGAGAGAAATGCATAAATGCGGCCATTCCCTACTTTATAATCATGCAATATTCTTACACTAGTCACAGTCCCAAATCTTTGAAAATGTTTCCACAAGTCTTCAGGTTTAACAGCCCTAGCCAGATTGCCAACATACAACTTGTGAGGAGTTTCATAGAATATAACTTTCTGGGGTGACGAGTTCATCGTCTCAGCACTTCTCCTTCCAGGATTCATCTCAGCTGAAAATCTAACTCGCATTTCACGCCCACCAATATCCTTGAGTAAATATAAAACGGGAGCTGTTCAGATCAAATACACAGAACAGAACACAATGAATCAACCACAAGTAAGGGACGAATTTCACTAACCGATGCATCTAATGCAGCAACTGCTTTTCTGGCTGAGTTTACTGATCCCATTGTGACATAACCACATCCTCTACTCTCACCGGTCCCGTCATTACGATCAACCTGCAGCAGGCATTTAAACTATAAACACAAGGCATGATGACGATTCCATGCTTTCAAGTCCCAAATAAATCATGATTTGGTGCTTATTTGCTTGTTTGGGAGTTTCGAGGAAGTTAGAATGGAGTGGTTATTAATGGAGGGGTGAAGTGGAATGGAGTGGGAAGACAGATAATTCCAATCTTGGAAGTTTGAAGAAAGTTTGATTGATATTTCATCTCAAATAATTCTGCATTGCTAATTAAGATTATCATAACAAAAAAGGCAAATTCCAAGACAATCAATTCAGAGAGAACAAGTTAAACAGTGATGAAAGTTTGAGATAAGATGATTGATTAACAAAATTTCACGACGACCCAGTAAGGCACGAGAAAGGAAATTAAACAAACTTAAAGCAAACGATTCAAGGGATGAAGAGGAACAATAAATGAAGAAATATGAAAAACCTCCGCAGACAGAACAGCTCCATAAGGCTTGAACATATCTTGAAGCTGCGTCGAGTCACAGCTCCTCGGAAGATTACAAACATATAATTCACACGGCCTACCAACTTTGCTTGGTTCTCTCTTATGGGAAACGTCATCGTTTGCTGCGTGCACATATCTTTCTCCGTTAATTTCTTCTGCAAGCACTGTTTCTTCATCCACCCCCGCTAAAGCCGTGCAAACCCTACCTTTCCTGCTTCGTCCCTTCAATGAAGAAGAGTGAGAAGAAGGGTCCGAAGGGAAGGGCTGCGGAGAGAAGATAGCACCGAAAGATAATGAATGAACCGAAGAATGAAGAAACGATGAGCATGAAGCGAACCGTTTCGCTGAAGCTGCGAGTTGAGGCTTGTTTCTTGATGCCGAGAAGGAAGGCGGGATGACGCAGAGAACAGCTTCCATTTCCCCCGATTGTCAAGGCCTTTTGTAAAGCATAGAGATAACGCATATAATTCGGGCTCCACCCGAGCCCGTGGAAACCAATCGGAGCTCCAACACCTTTGTATAAAATTTGAAGCGAGCATTTTCGTTCCCCTCATTCACAATTTCTGAGCTTGCACAAGCATCCTCAGTATTATAGTTTTGCGCTCCGCAATAGTCTATTGTTATTTGAATAGAAAGGCATAAAAATGGATTAGAGAAATTTTTTTCACACTTCCTTACTCTCTACCTGATTCACGCACCATCCCCAGATTCGTTTTCAGGCTCTCATATGAGAAATTATTTGTCAATGCCTCTATTGTTTCAGGTAAAATACACCGTTGAATGCTTTTTCAACAGTGATTTCTACTTTCCTTCACTGAACTTGAACTGATTGCACAAATCTTTTTATAATCTTGAGCAAGTAAAATGTTTGTGTTCTTGCTCAATGGCGGCTGTTTAGTTTTATGGAAGCCTCGGTGCTCTGTCGCATATTTCTCCTCAATTGATTGTTGTTATTTCATTTTCCTTTTGAGATACCTCGCCCCCTTATTGTAGTCCACCTCTAGTATTATTTATAATGTCAAGAGAGAAGGCTTTTTTGATAAATAAGCTACTAAGAGAAATTTTTTATATGGATGTACAATTTTGCTCCTTATTTATTATTATATTGATTTTATTTATATGAGTTATAATATATATTATACAGGAATAAAATTAAAATTTATTAAATTTTAAATGAAAGTTAATAAAGTTTAAGGTTTTTTTAATCTATATAAACCATATTAAAAGCAACTTATAAATAAAACCAGAAGAATATTTCCTTTGGACAAGCAAGTGGTTTACTACAAATTTGCAGGTGAAAAATGATAACGGTATAATTCATTCATTAGTTGTAGGATTTTTTTTTTATAATTATATTTTTTTTATTTTCATTCTTGAAGCTTTTAATTGTGGGGTGTATTCTCTTGGTCCAATTTTAAATATGAATTTGTTTTGTTAATATAGAATCTCAGTTTCTCGTCTCGCTCATTTGATTTTTTCATATTATCTCATTAATTTTATTTTTTATTCTCTTTCTCGCATATTTAATATCTTTATTAAAGGATGAGCAGTATTTTAGCAAAAGCAACATAATTTTCTTATAAAAGATAAATAATCATCTCAGTTAATTTTTTTAATTAAATAAAGTTAGCTGACCTGATGTTATATTTATTTTCAGAGTATATATTAGCATCAGTACTAACGAGGATATTGACGTTGATGATTAATTAGCTAATTAATTGTTGGCAAAAAAAAAAAAAAGCCAATTAATCACTACTACGTCTGGCGTCTCCTTCGGGTGTGTTTTATCGTTTTTGGACGCTTGAAGAAAACTCGCTACTGGTCTTCGGCTTCGCCGTCCGGATTAGTTCACTTCTCTCTCTGCCCCAGATCTCAGAGCTGCTGGATTATTTCTCCTTCAGGAGAGAGCTAAGAGAGAATGGGTTCTACTCCCACCGCATCAATCGCGTCCGTTGATCAAGACTCCTCTGTTACTCTATCCTCCTCCTTAGCCTTCGGCGAACCGGAGGCTCTCGAATATGTTCGTTCGCTCACCGACATCGGAGCCATAACTCGGCTCCTCCATGAGTGCATAGCTTATCAGCGATCCCTCGACGTTGAGTTGGACAATCTCTTGTCTCAGCGCCCCGACCTTGACAAACAGCTCCTCCAACTCCAGCGCTCTTCTGAGGTTCTCGACATTGTCAAGGCAGATTCAGACCACATGCTGTCCAATGTTAGCTCAACCTGCGATCTCGCCGACGATGTCAGCCGTAAGGTCCGGGAGCTTGACTTGGCTCAGTCACGGGTTCGTTCCACGCTGCTCCGAATCGATGCCGTCGTTGAGAGAGGGAATTGCTTGGAGGGTGTCGATAAGGCGCTTGGAATAGAGGACTATGAATCCGCAGCGAAGTACGTTCAAACATTCCTCAAGATTGATGCGGAGTACAAGGAATTGGAGTCGGATCAGAGAGAGAGGTTGATGGCGTCCAAGAAGCAGCTCGAAGGGATCGTAAGGAAGAAGCTCTCCTCAGCTGTGGATCAGCGTGACCACCCTACGATTCTACGGTTTATCCGGCTTTACTCGCCGCTGGGTCTTGAGGAGGAGGGGCTGCAGGTTTATGTAGGCTACTTGAAGAAGGTCATTGGGATGAGATCTAGGCTGGAGTTTGAACAGTTGGTGGAATTGACGGAACAAAGAGGTTTGGGTAATAATAATGGTAATGTCAATCAAAACCAAGCCAATTTTGTCGGGTGTTTGACGAATTTTTTTAAGGACATTGTGTTGGCAATTGAAGAGAATGATGAGATCTTGAGGAGCCTGTGTGGCGAGGATGGGATTGTATATGCGATATGCGAGCTTCAAGAGGAGTGTGACTCCCGAGGTTCTTTGATCTTGAAGAAGTATATGGAGTATCGGAAGTTGGCCAAGTTATCATCAGAAATAAATGCCCAGACCAAGAGCATGCTTGCTGTTGGGGGAGATCCCGAGGGACCTGACCCACGTGAGATTGAAATGTACCTGGAAGAAATTCTGTCACTTATGCAATTGGGGGAGGACTACACAGATTATATGATCTCAAAAATCAAAGGGCTTACTTCTGTGGATCCAGATTTGGTCCCCCGTGCAACAAAAGCATTCAGGAGTGGTAGTTTCAGCAAAGTTGTTCAAGACATAACTGGATTTTATGTTATTTTAGAGGGATTTTTCATGGTAGAGAATGTGAGGAAAGCTATTAGGATAGATGAACAGGCGCCTGACAGCCTTACAACTTCAATGGTGGACGATGTGTTCTATGTCCTGCAAAGTTGCTTGCGTAGAGCAATATCAACTTCAAATATTAATTCTGTCGTGGCAGTTCTGAGTGGTGCTAGTAGTTTACTGTCCAATGAATATCATGAAGCCTTGCAACATAAAATGAGAGAGCCAAACCTTGGTGCCAAGTTGTTCTTAGGGGGCGTTGGTGTGCAGAAGACTGGGACAGAAATTGCAACAGCTTTAAACAATATTGATGTTAGCAGTGAATACATTTTGAAACTAAAACATGAGATTGAAGAGCAATGTAATGAGGTAAGTGGTGTATTTCTAGCAACTTGCTTTTATATTTCACCAAAAATTTTAATATGGCAGGAAATATATTTGACCCGTCTTTTGGCTTTTGCACGCTTGTTCCGTTAGAAGCTAATTAGGGTTGCTGGAGATTAATCATAGAATAATTTGATGGATCATATATGCCATATATGTAGTTATCAGCACGCATGTTTAGTTCATGAGTCATCTAAACTGTACAGGCAATAATTCCAAATGTGCTGTGTTCTCATGGCCAAAATTAGAGTTTTAGAGTCCCACTGCATAAATGTTGGATACAAATAGAGGCAATAATGCTTGACCGAGAACAACTTCAAGATCGGCATATTAGCAACTTTGATACCAAACTGAGTTGAACTGCAATATCCCTCTTCAGGTGTTTTTGTTTGTCGAGGTAGGATAGATAGATTATAACGTTTGAACTGCTCTGAGTTCTCATTGTATGTTCAGCTTGCTCATATTGAGTGTTAAATTCGAATTGAAGACTATTATGTGAAGATTGGAAGGATATCTTCAAATGCGATTGCCATTGCCTCGCCTTTATACCATGTCTGAAATGCTTTTTGTTTTGTCATATCACAAGTGGAGTACTGATGGGGATGGCATCATACTGATGCCTGATTCCTAGGTAATTCTTAATTGAAGTGCTTGGTAAACTAAGGCAGAATTGCACAGTTTGGATAAGAAACAAATCAAACAGCATTTATGTGCCCTGATATTACATTTACCAAAACTAGAAGAAAAAAATTTAATGTACTCATCTTAGTTCTTGTACTGAAACAAAATTATGTTCTCTGGATTGGTCTTGCCTGCACTTGACAAGGACTGTGATAAAGTCAAGTTTGTTTAGTTGAGGTGGTGATGAAAAGTGTAACTCTCTTTTTTCTTTGGGAAGCAACTGCACACCTATTTTTTGAGGCCTTGAGAATGGGCGTCTTTACATGGAAACTCTTTTGAGCCGTGACGGTTATAATAAACAGAATGAAGAACTTCAACATAAATTACTAAATTCCTCGCACTATCAAGGATGTTTGCTGGATTGGCAAATACTCACCCATTGCACTACGTGTAGTATGTGGAAAAATCCAATGAGTATGGAAAGGGAAAATAAGACGTAAGTGTTTGGTGTATTGAAAATTTGTAATACACTTTCTAATCATAGTTAGGAGAATAGGTTTTCGGGGAAGCCTCTTTCCCATGTTTATTCCAATTCCCATTTTCATTCTCATTCCCTTGCATTAGTTCTGCTAGAATGTGATCTTTTTATGGGCAAAGATGGCTTATCAGCTCTGCCCTCACCCTGCCTCCCAAAGTGCTGGAATGTTACTATTAGACTTTACCCTGGCTTAAGAAAATTCATTGATGGAAACTCATTCAACTTGTTAGAGACCTAAAACATTTGCTACAGATGTTTTAAACGATGAAATCTACAGGAGCATAGTTATGGATAAGGGGGAATGAGCTCCTAAAGGGAACCTTGGTTAAAACTAGGCAGATTGCAAGTATTTCTGTCCTAGCAATTTCTTTTTGAATGTTTTGGTTGAACAGACTCATGATATTTATTAAAAAAAAAAAAACTTTACAACCCTGGAGACTGCTAGACTTAGAACTTTGATTTATTTACAGATTATCCTCCAGTCCCTTCTCTTTGTCGGACACAGATGAGGGACCAATTTGAAGAGACTGATGAAATCTCATCTCTTTAGTGTTGCTAACTAATATGAAAATCGTCTGCAGCTTCCAGGGTATGAAGGGATTTATGTATATTACTGATTAGACTGTTTGATGAGATTAATTGGATAATAGGAATCTTAACTCAGTTATTTATAGCAGTGTGCTCGGCTAAACATTATTTTGAAACAATAGGACTGACTGACTGACTGATTATATGTAGGTTTTCCCTTTGCCAGCTGATCGAGAAAAGGTAAAATCTTGTTTGTCTGAGTTGGGAGATATGAGCAATGCTTTCAAACAATCTTTAAATGCTGGTGTTGAACAACTTGTGGCAACTATTACGCCACGAATACGTCCTATATTAGACACTGTAGGAACAGTCAGCTATGATTTGTCCGAGGCTGAGTATGCTGATAATGAGTTGAATGATCCATGGGTTCAGAGGCTTCTCCATGCTGTGGAGACAAATGTGGCATGGCTACAGCCACTGATGACTGCTAACAATTATGATACTTTTGTTCATTTAGTCATTGATTTTATTGTGAAGAGATTGGAAGTGATTATGATGCAGAAAAGATTTAGTCAGCTTGGCGGCCTTCAGCTTGACAGGGATGCTAGAGCATTGGTGAGCCATTTCTCGGGCATGACGCAGCGGACAGTTAGAGACAAATTCGCACGTCTCACGCAAATGGCAACCATTCTAAACTTAGAAAAGGTGTCTGAAATTCTAGATTTCTGGGGTGAGAACTCAGGTCCCATGACCTGGAGACTAACTCCAGCAGAGGTAAGGCGTGTGTTGGGCCTTAGGGTTGATTTTAAACCAGAAGCAATAGCTGCCCTTAAGTTGTAATATCGATCTGTAAAGCCCTTTTGTATTCTTTTGTTCTTTTTTCATTGAATATGTAACTACAACGCTTTCATTTTTGTTTGAGCGGCTATCATACTTGAGTTCAATTCCAATAGAAGAGCAAGTGTAAACTGATTTGCCCCGTAAGAAATTGGGCATTGCTTCTCGTCTTTTTTGTAGTACTCTATAGACTTCTAGTTCAAGTTTCAGAACATTAAAAGCTATCATGAATGCGATGTGTTCATGACTTGTTTAAGTTCTGAGGGGAGGAAGTGGAAGGCGATTGGAAGGAGAAATCACATTTTCATTATTTGGATGATTGGCGAGGAAGGTAAACAAGATATAAAGGCAACTGGCTGCAGTTTCGACTTCGAATGATCACTATAATTTAGTTTGGATGAAAAAAAATTTTGTAACTTAAAATTTTTTAAAATGAAATGAAAGTGGTTCCTCACTTCCCTTCACTTTAAAATTAGGGGAGAAAAAGCGCCCAGATAAAAAAAATTATTCATTGCCTCTGCAGACATGCCCGTTACCAAATTTGCCTTGTTTGGGCTAATCTTCGAGAAATACGCTAAATTATTTAAACTGTCCATAATTCATAGCTCAACCAATATAACCTGTTAAAATTTTTGTATTGCTTATGGATAACGTGAAGAATAACTACAATAACCTGAACTACTATGCGATTTTTCTACTCGTAATCTCTTCCGTTTCTCAACTCCTCAGACAGACGATTAATATCGAATAGTTCATGAATTTTTTTTTTTCAAATTTTTATTTTAATGGCTACTAAATACATCTCAGACAACATTTTTAACCTAAAATAAATCATGCTTGTATTGTAAAAAGTAATACAATTTGGAAGTGTGGTGATAATGAAAAATCTGCTAAAAACCATGTATCCAAGGTTGAATAAACTAAACGTGAGCTGTGCCTTGAGTGAATTTTGGATCCTCGCACCTATACTTTCCATCTGGTCCAATTCCAAAACCTTTTGGATCAGCAAACACATTCTCCAGAAGCTGGCTTCGAGGTGGAAGAGGGCTCTCATCCGCAAAGTCAACGGAGTCCTCAATCACCTCATCAATCTTCTTCTCTATGGCCTTTAAATCCTGCTCACTTGCTAATTTGTTCTCAATCATGTATTTTTTCAATGCAGAGATAGGATCCCTACCAGCATAGTGTGCCTTCTCAGCTGCCAGAGAAGAAACGGTAGGAGACAGTTAAAATTAGGAATTGGCAGACTATACATACAGACAATAAAAGAGAGTAATGACTTTAGGGAAGCCTAGTTTACCAACACCTTATTATTAATATGGGAGAATTCCAAGTAGCTACATATATTAAGGGGAATCACCTTCACCATAACACAGTCATAACAAAGACGAGTAACAGTAGGAAAGAAACAAGAAGAAAAGGGAACGGAAGTCTAGAGTTCGAGGCGCTAGTCTGTCCAATCAAACTATAATTCAGCCTGCCTCCCATTCAAACAAGCACTCACATGTATTCCCTTAAACATCAGGCCGAAAAAAGAAAAATCCCTTAACAGATTCCCACCCTCTCCTCTTGTCGTGTGGTCCCTACCATAGTTACCTCAAGCAGCTCTTAATCTCCATTATGCCCCCTACTAATCTTACCTCACTTTTTTCTAGAATATGATTCCATATTTATGTTCATCACATTACAATCATAATAATACACATAGAAGCATACAAGAGGCGGGTTTGATTAAGATGTGTGTCTAAGATGCTTACATCTTAATCTGACATGACTATCTTTTGTACTTCCAGTCAAAATATTGTAATATGCGATCTTAAAGTTAAAATAGAATTTCAAATTAAAAAAAAGGGATCAAAATGTAAAATACTATAGCCCCAAATGATTTTTTTTTGGTTCCATTACAAATCGGAGGATAACAGCTGAAGCTAAAAGAAATTAACCGTTTTGGCTAGAGACACATAATTGATTACAATCTGAAATCTTGATCCAAAAGAGATGACCATCATTAATTGTTCCAATAATCTAGAACGAAATGGTACTTCGTAATTCTTCCATTAACATGTTAGAGTACATTACAGCAAGTTCAACCCCCTCAAGATCTATGGTTTATACTTGCTAATCAATAGATTAAAAATCAGTTGACAGAACAAAAATTATGTTGTCAAGTAAGTGGACACCCCTTGTACAAGTGTTAGTCAACAATCTGAATCAAATGCATTAAAATCAATATCATGTTGGGAGATAAATTCCAAGGAAGCTGAGAAATTAGTCACAGTAACAAATGGTAGAATATATTAAAAAATAAAGACAAGGATTCTGCATCACACTGTGCAACTAAATATATCATTAGAAATGCAAAGGAACAGAAGCATTATCAGCTTCTAGAATAGATATAAAGTAAACTTAGCAAAGACAAGAAAAATAATCAAAATGCTCACCAGGGTCACGAAGTTCATCAGGATCAGCCAATGAATGTCCTCTAAATCTATAGGTCTCGCATTCAACTAAAGTTGGTCCATCTCCTCTTCTAGCCCTTTCAATAGCCTCCTTAGCCACCTCCCTGACCTTCAAAACATCCATTCCATCTACATGAACCCCTGGCATTCCAAACGCCGGCCCTTTCTTCCATATCTCAGTATCTGAAGTTGCCCTGAGATGCGACATCCCAATAGCCCACAAATTGTTTTCCACGACAAACACAATTGGCAATTTCCACAGTGCTGCCATGTTTAAGCATTCAAAGAATTGCCCATTATTACATGTCCCATCTCCGAAAAAGGCCAATGTCACGTTATCAGCATCAACCTCTTTCAATACCTCCCTTCTATACCTACTGGAAAATGCAGCTCCAGTGGCTACTGGAATCCCTTCACCAATGAATGCAAACCCACCAAGCAAATTGTGTTCTTTTGAGAACATATGCATCGATCCACCTTGACCCCGACAACAACCTGTAGCTTTTCCAAAGAGCTCACTCATCACAGCACGAGCTGGGACTCCCTTACTCAGTGCATGAACATGGTCCCGGTAGGTGCTTACTACATAATCTTCTTTCTTCAGAAGCTTGATGAATCCAGTTGACACAGCTTCTTGGCCATTATACAAGTGGACAAAACCAAACATTTTGCCTCTATAATACATCTGGGCACACATGTCTTCAAAGGCCCTCCCTAATACCATGTCTTCGTATAGCTCCAAGCCTTCCTCTTTCGTAATAAGCTGTATGCATAAATCCAAACAATAACTATAGCCTCAAATAAAATGTCTACAGACAAGTGCCAGTTTCCAAAGTCAGATTCAATACAATTTTCACAATCTGAAATTAGTTGACAAACTATATATAAGATTTATTGGATGAGGAGAAGACAGAATCTCTTGGAAACCACTTTGTTGTTCTCTTCACTTGAGTTGGCTTTCAATCGCTAAGAGTACATGTATGCGTATTAAGTAGCCCTTCGACATCTAGTGAGTAGTGACACAAGTCACCGATTATCAATACACTATAGATGAACTTGAACATTAGAAAAAAGCACTGAACTTAACCCCTAAAAATGCCAAATTACTCATTCCATCAAGAGCTCTCTTTACATTTCACGGAGAAAATTAAAAAGAACAAAAGAAATAACATCGCATGCGGAGAATATACAAAGAAGACAAAAACAGATAGATTTGGGAAAAAGAAGAGAGGTTAGACTAAAATCAAGCAGATTGTTTTGCTTTGAGCTCAACATAAGAAACTAATTTAGGCTCAGTTAAGCTCGGCAGGGTGGAAAGCTTGGCTTAGTCTTTTATGCAACACATTACACAGAATCCAAGCAAAACATTTCCCGGCGGGCAGTCGCAGAAAGCATAAATGAATATCAGAATAAGGGTGTAAACGCTACCAGATTGGCGCTCGATTTGGACTTCTTTTGCTTGAGAACATCAGAAACAGCAACAACAGCGGATCGACAGTGGGAATTGTGCCGAGAAATCTTACCGAGAGCATTGAAGCGAAGCTTGTGCATGGACCCAAGGAAAGAGGAGCTAGTCCTGAAGGGGTCAAAGGACAGAGGATTAGGCTTGTTATTGGATCTAGCAGTGGAGGAGCTGGGATGAAGGGGTTGCACGAACTTGGTTGCAGAGAAAGACATTTTCGACGGAAGAGAGAAAAAGGGAAAGAGTTATGAGTCTGGAGGGAAAGTAAAGAAGACAAAGTAACAGGTGATATAAACAGAGAAGGCGGGGCGGGCGGAGGAAACGAGGGAAGGAAAGAATTGCAGGAGAGAATAACCGTCTTGAGCGGTGGAGGTGGGGCCTACAACAACAATCTCCTCAGACCTCTCGCTGGGTTTAGGCTTTCGACGCCCAATCCCTTGAGATTGTTTTTAGATCATGTGCGAAAATTTGTTCTCATTATTATGTATAATCTGAATTAAGTACTGTTTACAAATTCTAAACCGTATAACTTAACCTGTATTACTATTTATGATTTTTTTTTTGCATCATACAGTATTTAATAACCTATATACTACCTCATATTCTTAATATAAAAATGAAATAACTAATTTATAAATAATAAAAAAATTAATTAAGTTCATTATTTATAATAAATTAGTGTTAATTTTTTTTCTAAAATGTCTTTGTAAATATCGTGTGCATTCGAATGAAGACATTTTAACAAGTGTAATAACTGTGGAGATTATTATATAAAAATAAATAAATATAATAAATAAAGTGGATCACATTTATATGTGTGATGAGCATAAGCCCAACTCTTCCTATCAGTCAGAACCCGTATAAGCTCAAAAAGAGAACTCAATTCCAAAAGACTAATTTATTAGGAGGGAGAGTCTCTTGAACTTATAAACCCCACAACATTTATAAGATTTCCTAATATGGGACTTGTAACTGTATGAAGAGCATTGCAAAGACAAATAAATATGGTGAGGAGTGAGCAGTTTTATTAATTAGAATTCGTGTTAATACAAATTTTGATCCTTCAAATTTATTCTCATTTTGATTTTGGTTCCTCAAGTTTTAAACTATAAATTTTGGTCTCTCAAGTTTCTTTTTATTTAAAACATTAGTTTCTATAATTCCATAAAAACCTAGGTCATTTTACCTCTTAAGAAACCAAAACCTATAGTTTAAAATTTGATGGACTAAAACCAAAATGAAAAAAAATTTAAAAGATCAAAAGACTATACTCATTCCAGTCCTAACTATAATATCTATTTTTTAGTATAATTTATATTACAAAATAAGTTTATATTTAGGACAGGAGGAGTATTAACTTTTGGAATTTTTAAGGCCGAGAGTGTGTCCCAATGAAAACGTGAAACTCTATCACTTGTCAAGTTGGCACTTGGATGTGGATAAACTCCACGTCTCTCTCTGCTTTTATCTGTTTGCTTCTGCTGAATCAGCCTATATGCATGTCCAATAATCTTTTATATTATTGCTATCTATACGTATATGGGTCGCCATGTGTGCGTTTGTGTGGGATTTTTCACTCCAGATTCAAGTGGTCAGCGTTATGATCTCCTCAAAGCCGCTTTTTTATGCTGGTAAATTTTTCCCTTGTTCTAGATCCATGCTTGCTTTGATCATTCTTGTACATATTGGAATCGGAAAAAGTAACACAATCTGGGATTGCGGACTTGTACGCAGTAATAATGAAATATCTGGAAAAGATCGAACATTTATCCAAATAAAATTGAATAAACTAAACATGAGCGGTGCCTTGAGTGGATGTTGGATGCTGGCAACTATACTTTCCATCAGGTCCAATTCCAAAATCTTTTGGATCAGCAAACACATTCTCCAGAAGCAGCCTCGGAGGAGGAACAGAACTCTCTTCAGCAAACTCAATTGAGTCTTCAATCACCTCATCACCCTTCTTCTCTATGCTCTTCAAATCATCGTCACCCGCCCACTTGTTCTCCGTCACATATTTCTTCATTGCACCTGTAGGATCCCTACTTGCATAGTGTGCCTTCTTACCTGCGCCACCAGCACAGATTAACAGACGCCAAGTTGACAGATGATGCCAAGACACTGAATCAATGTAATTTAGAAATACATACACACACACACACATATTAGGGTTTGGTGCCTCTAATCTATTTCTCCTTCTAATGCTCTCTAATACCCTTTAAAATGTCTCAATCTCTCTGATATTTTTTTTCTCTTTCTTTTGATCATTAGATTCTATATAAAATGAGTAATATTTTGATATCCTATGATAGAATGATATAGTTTTGATTTTTTTAAAAAACCATAAAATGGCGTAGTTTTGATTTATTTTCTTTAAAAAATTGAAATGTGGTCGATATTGTTACAAAATAGGGTATTAGAGAAAGTCAGAAGAAGGGCCTTAAATCTGTAGGTCTCACATTCCACTAATGTGGGTCCCTCTACTCTTCCAGCTCTTTGAATGGCCTCCCCTCCACGTCCCTCACCTTCAGGATCTGAGGTCGTTCTGAGATGGGACGTGTTAGGAGCCCACAAATTGTTCTCCACCGGCCACAAACACAATTGCGAGCTTCCACGGAGCCGCCATGTTCAGGCATTCAAAGAACTGACCATTATTAAAAGAGTGTGCCTCTTTCAAAACCCCTCTTCTGTACTTTCTGGAAAATGCAGCCCCACAAGCAATTGGAATCCCTTCACCAATGAATCCAAACCCACCGAGCGCATTGTGTTCTTTCGAGAACACGTGCACGGAACCACCTTGAACTCAGCCACATCCTGTGACTTTTCCGAACAGCTCACTCATCATGGCTCCGGCCAGCTGCTACTCCTTTGTGCATGGACATGGTCACGATATGTGCTTATTACGTAATCTGGTTTCTTCGGAAGCTTGATGAATCCTGTGGACACAGACAAGTGAACGTAACCTCCTATTTTGCATTTATCAAACATCTGCCTGCACATTTCTTTAAAGGCCCTGCCTTCATACCATGTCTTCGTATCCAAACAAGAAAGAATAACCAATGTAATTAATTTGAAAAAAAATAATAGATATAAATACATTAAAGTAATTATTAACTTTATTAGTTAATTGAATTCTAAATTAAGAACTAGAGATGATTATACGCAGCTAATTTTAATTTGTCTTCTGGTAAGTGAGGAATAGTTTTGTTTTTTTTTATTTTGGGGTGGTGGGGGGCGTAGTGTTTGGTCAGCATCAAAGTGGAAAAAAAAGAAAAAGACTAGACCGGCCGGTTCAACCAGAAAATCAGTAAACCCGTCAGTGATCCGGTCTAGTTTATCGGTTAAATCGGATATTGATTCGAACCAGATTGAATGAGTCAAACTGGAATTATTGGTTTGAATGAGTATATTGTTATTTGTCATATGTTTTCTCATTCAATTTCTAATATTTCAGTCGTTATAGATTTAAATGAATTTTAATAATGATTTTGATATCAATAACTATTAATTTTAGTTATTCAGAAATCATAAATATCAAAATTCTCAATACTGTTGTAGTTTATTATTATTACAATCATACTATTATTGTATTTTCTTATATTTTCTATTAGTGATTATTAGTACTATTATATTCTGTTATTTTCAATTAAATTATATTATTTTAATATGACCGGTTTGATACTGAATTAATCCCAATCTGACTCTTGAATTACTATTTCAACCAGTTTAGTATGCGGTTCGGTTTTTTTTTCTTGGTCAGCATAATCGGAGTCTTTTTTCCAATGCAAGTGGTCCATGTATTCACATGGGTATGGAATCCTCATAACCACACCGCCTTCCTAAATATTTTCAAACAAATATATTATTAATGAGATTAGATCTAATAAAAGAGATTAATTCTTTATAATGTGACGGATTAATATTCAATTTTTTTTAGAAGGTATGTATCCACATCTAATAAGAGAATACATGTGCATAGCAAAAAAAAATAACTGTAAAATTCAAAATATAAATTAAGTTACTCATATTATTCGTAATAAATAAGAATAGTAGCGGCCCCCAATAAAACCATTACTTAAATAATTATTGAAAGGGAAATGCAATTAAGTCCAGCTGTAATCAAAAGAATGTCACAAAAAGTAATTGTAATAAGAAGAAAATCGTTCCTCTGCAGTGCATTTAATTGGAGGTACGTACATGGATTAAACTAAATGAGGAGAAGTAACAAATGGTTATTTTTAAGTGTAATTTTCCTCAATAAAAAATACAAATGTGTTAATAGCCTTGTAGCATGATTGTATATAGTGCGTTGATGCAAGAGAGCTTTCATGGAATCATACTACAAGGCTATGAACACGCTTAGAATGGCGAAAATTAGTAAATTACACTTCTGAGCATGACGATAATGATACTGAAAGATCCTGGACCCTGTGATTAGTGGGGTTGTGAGCAACGTGGTGACACAAAAAGTTCCGCCGCTCGGGAAGGAGTGGTGCCGCAGCTTCTCCGTGGGCCCAAAAGAAATCTCTGAAGCGTTGTGAGCCTCTAACTAGGTCTGCGCCGTGTGTGATGCTCGCTCAAGAAACATCCTCAGGCTGCCACGTGGAACTGGATGGGAAATGTTACTTTGCGAGCAAAACCACATTGCTAAAGCTGCACCCCTTTGTCTCTCGTACAGTCATACTCAATGCTTCAACTCCAATACCCAAGCTTTTATGTTTCCAGTGTCATAGTTGAATTCCAGTAAGATAGTGCACGAGAGGCTCTCTCCCTCTCTCTCACATTTGTCGCCTGGTTAGTTCAATTTTCCCTTCTCTTCATTATTTCATACACTCTGCGATTTTTACCTTATATTAGTTAAATAGTTAGGAGTTAAAATATCAAATGCATTTCATGGAGAAAAGAGCACAATTTCTTTAGCTACGGAGATTTTTAATAAAATTACGCAATTTCCGCTCAAGGAAGCCTCAAGTATTGTTAGACGTTGTAGTGAGGGTTCTTAATTGTCGGCTGCATGATTCGCAGCTGGCATTATCTGCTCTTTTTGGTTATTATTCATCGATAACCTGTCAAATGTATTTTCATGGGATCCTTGTTCTCAGAATTTGAGTAAGCAGAGATGGCAGTGCTGAGTGCTTCCAGCAATTTAGTATCCAGAAGTACTCATGTCAATCATGGACCATCTGTTTCATCTGATTCTAAAGTGACTTCGGTTGGAATAAGGTTTCTAAAGCAGACAAATACTCATAATGGACTAAGAATTTTGAACCCAGTGGATGAGCTGCTAGACAGTACTCCAATAAAAGCTAGTGCACGACAAACTAGGACAAAGGCTTTTAAATGCAAGGACACGAAGCCTTCAGGTGTCATCGTCTGTGGCATGAATTTGATCTTCGTGGGAACTGAGGTTTCTCCATGGAGCAAAACTGGTGGGCTTGGGGATGTTCTTGGAGGTCTCCCACCAGCAATGGCAGTAAGTTTATTGTATCTACTTTCATTGTTCATTTGCTAATAATATGCTGGCTGGGAAATTCAGGTTTTTCAGTTAGGGAAATATTCTCTCTAATTAATCCTTGTCCAGGCTAACGGGCACCGAGTTATGACTATAGCTCCACGTTATGACCAATACAAAGATGCATGGGATACAAATGTTGTAATTGAGGTATACAGTCTAGCCGTTATCTTCATGGAGGACTTTTCAGTTTTCACCCTTTTGTGTTCTTACATAACGGTTTATCTAAACTGTTTGCTGTAGGTAAAAGTAGGCGACAGAGTTGAGAAAGTTCGCTTCTTCCATTGCTACAAAAGAGGAGTTGACCGTATCTTTGTGGACCATCCAATGTTCCTTGAAAAAGTTTGCAACTTTTCACAATTTCACAATTTTTAGCCTTGAACTAAGAATACATACATTTGGAAACTTATGGATGACTAACCTTCAAGGTGTGGGGAAAAACTGGAACCAAATTGTATGGACCATATACAGGAGAGGATTATGAGGACAACCAACTACGCTTCAGCTTATTCTGCCAGGTTCTATATCCTTATCATAATTTGTTATGAGAGTTCTCGTTAAAACAATAAGAATTTTTAGTTGCAATATTGTGTAAATAGTATTCAATAGAATGCTTTACTTTGCCTCTTGTATATGATTAAAACTTGTCTAGTCTAATCTGTTTGTACAAGTCTTCAACTTGTAGCATATTTCTGATACTAAGGCTGCTTGAAATTTCTGTTATATGATCTATTTAATATTCAGAGTAACTCATCCAACAAGTGTGTCTTTATGTGCACCAGGATTCATATCTTCTTAATTCAGCAGTCTTTCTTTTCACTGAACTTATTTCTTTTGATTTTTAGGCAGCCTTGGAAGCACCTAGGGTTCTGAATCTGAACAGCAGTAGTTATTTCTCTGGACCATATGGTAAGTTCTAAGGACACAAACTAGGTTCTTCAGAGATGGAACCAAATCTTTCAACCATGATATAATGCATGACAATCAACTTCCTGAGTTCAGGTGAAGATGTCATATTCATTGCCAATGATTGGCACACTGCCCTTCTCCCCTGCTACTTAAAATCTATGTACAAGCCGTTTAGCATTTATAAGAATGCCCAAGTAAGTCTAAAAATTACAATGAAGTATTGTACAGTTATATTATATTTACTAATTCTAGCGTTGCCCACAAATCAAAAGTTCCTCAAATATTCATTGTGGCTTCTGTCATTCATAGGTTGCTTTCTGTATACATAACATTGCTTACCAAGGCAGATTTGCATTCAATGCCTTTTCGCTTCTCAATCTCCCCAGTCAGTTCAGAAGCTCCTTTGACTTCATTGATGGGTAGGCCTTTCGTAACTGGTGAATTGTCCCCACTGAAGAGCCTGAAGACTTGCATGTTTGAACATTATGCTGTTCTATTCCTGCAGGCATATTAAACCAGTGGTAGGAAGGAAAATAAATTGGATGAAAGCTGGAATTCTAGAATCAAGCCTGGTGTTAACAGTTAGTCCATATTATGCCATTGAACTTGCTTCAGGCGTTGACAAAGGAGTAGAGTTGGATCACATCATTCGCAGAACTGGCATTATTGGGATTATCAATGGCATGGACGTCCAGGAGTGGAATCCATCCGCTGACAAATACATAAACCTCAAATACAATGCTTCAACTGTAAGAGTGATAGATCTATAAGAAGCGAAAATATCTCTAATCTGTTTTAATTAAAACTATACCGGCTAAAATGTTATTTTCCAATCTTCACTGCTTAGGCATTGACAGCAAAGCCTCTTTTGAAAGAAGCTCTCCAAGCAGAAGTTGGATTGCCAGTAGACAAAGATGTTCCTCTCATTGTTTTCATTGGTAGGCTTGAAGAGCAGAAAGGTTCTGATATTCTTGTAGAAGCCATCCCCCAATTTATTGAGGAGAATGTTCAGTTAGTAGCCCTTGTAAGGATCATATTGATAACAAAAAGTTTCCTGAACCCTTTATCAAGTCCCACAAGAAACTGTAAATCACATTTAAAGCTATGTTGTACATGCCATTGGTATAGGGAACAGGCAAGAAACAAATGGAAAAGCAGCTTCAGCAGCTGGAGATATTGTACCCTGACAAGGCCCGAGGAGTGGCAAAATTCAATGTTCCCTTAGCCCATATGATGATAGCTGGTGCAGATTATATATTGGTTCCTAGTAGATTTGAACCTTGTGGGCTCATACAGTTGCAAGCCATGCGCTATGGAACTGTACTTTTCCTACTTCGCATATTCTTCCATTGCTTAGAATACTCCTTGCTATTCCCTTTCCTCTACTCTGAAAATTTTTATTCCATTTTTGTCCTGCACTTTACTAGGTACCTCTCGTTGCCTCGACTGGTGGATTAGTCGATACAGTGAAGGAAGGTTTCACCGGATTTCAGATGGGTCCCTTCAATGTTGAAGTAATAATTGTCTGAAATCGAAAATTTTTAGTATGACCATAGTAGCTATACTGATTAAGTACTCACCACTTTCATTTTGGACTTCTTTTTTTTTTCGGCTTCAGTGTGAAGCTGTGGATCCTGCAGATGCAGCCGCTCTGGCTAGCAATGTCAAAAGGGCCCTTAAAGTTTATGGAACTCCAGTTTTTGTAGAAATGATCAGGAATTGCATGGCTCAAGATCTTTCCTGGAAGGTGAGTAAACAGAAGAAATCATGTAGGATCCTAAAAACTGTGACAAAAATTCAAAATTCAGCAATTGAGAAACCACAAAATCGGTGCTAGATTGTTATGTCAGCCTTGATGAACCTTACTAGTATATGTGCTTTATATGTGTTGTGTTCTGGATACAGGGACCTGCCAAGAAGTGGGAGGAGGTTTTGCTTAGCTTGGGAGTTGCTGGAAGCGAACCTGGGATTGATGGAGAAGAAATTGCTCCACAAGCGAAGGAAAACGTGGCAACTCCCTGAGAATCACCTAGAAAAGGATCTTAAGCTTGAATGGAGAGAGCTCAATTTAAATTATATCTGCGGGATAAAAAAAAGCCTGGTCCCCCCTTTAAAGGACAGCGTCTAGAATTGCGTGCCTGATGTATGGGGTCGAAATTGGATTCAGACTTCAGTTGCCAGAAATCCGCAGAACAGTAGAAGAAAGAAATCCTGGATTGAAGAAGACGACCCTAAACATGTAATCAAATTTTATCATTTATCTTAGCAATGCATGGATCATTCACCATTTTTTTTACCAATACCTGGTCATTTCAGAAAATGCTCTCAAAAGATGACTTGATTATATGACCGTGTTTTCAATCCTGAAAATTTACTCATCATTTTGAACCTAAATAATGCATTATAGCTAAACTGATTATAAACAAGATAAAATATTGATAAACCCATATTTGCAATATTAAGTATGAAGTAGTAAAAATTAAAAAAAAAAATCTTTAATTTTTAATGTAAGACCTAATTTGAGAGTTGATATTAATCTTATATATAAGATTTGTTTTACATGTTTATCAATTTTTTTCAAATTAACTCTATTGATATTTTTTTTAACAATAATGAGTAGGAGAGGAAGGAAAGAAATTAAGGAATATGATAAGGGTGTTTTAGGGGGGGAACATATCATATCAAATAATTTAACACCTTTAATTTACTCAAATTAGTTAATTAGTTCTTACATTAAGAACCGAATGAGTACTAAGTTCAATAGTCGTATGAGCATCATGTGTGTGTGTAACTTAATTTTTAATAGGAATTTACAGTTGATAAGGATAACCATTATTTCAATATAAAACACATAAGAAACATACAACAGTGTATCTTATCCTTATGCTTAGTTTACCCACAAATCAAATCTACACACACACACACACACATATATATATTTGATGATTTTTCACCCAAAAAAAAAATCGATGATTTGACTTGCAACTTATTTCTCAAACTTTACACAAAATAAAATGATCAAATTTGTTAATATACGCCTAATCCTCCAGCGATCTCCTCAATGGTTGGATCACAATTTTTATCTGCTTTATTACTTTAGTTTAATTCATTACAATCCCAACTCCATTTGTTCCTTTTTTTTTCTTGGCTGATATCATATTAATGATGATAGCAGTTAAAATTTCCTTGTGGATTCCATTTTGATTACTTCAAGTTATAACTATAACTTGCCACAATTGAGCCTATGCACCTCTCATGCACCGACGAGGAAGTTCTGGGCAAAAGCAAATCATTGTTCGAAATGTTTATGCAGAATGGTCTTTCGTTATTCATAAATTTTAAATTATTGCATTCAGTTGCTTTTCCATTTCGCATCATTTTTGGTTATATTTTTCTGATCATACAAACCCTAAAATTGTATGCGAAAGTTCAAAACTGACTCACAGACCCAACAACATGAGAACATATCCTCACCTGACTCCGATCACACACAACCAAATCAATTCACCGAGCTAAATAATCGTCAGGGGAATCATATTTGAGATCAAATAAGTTTAAAAATATCTACATCTTTCATTTACAATTTTATAATTACCAATTTTTAAGAAAGATTCAACAATTTGTTTTTAAAAAAAACAATGGAAAGAAATTTAACTTGTTAAATAAACCATAAATTCTCATGATCTGCAACTTTTCGACTACTAGTTTGCAAGTAAATCTCGTCTACTTATGAAAGAAGAGGAATAATTTGCATAGCTTGTAATTAGGTTAATACTCATATTTCTTAGACTCTTATTCCCTGACTAATAACTTGTTACTATCAATTTGCGAGTGAGATTCGAGAGTGATATTCTATTAAATTTATTATTTGGATCAAATCAGTAAAGGACCTTCCATTTTAGTCCTCATATTAAATTAACTTAATCTTTTGGTCCTCAAATGTCATGCCCCTAATCATTAATGCGTATCTTGCACGGCGTACCAAAAACATGACTCTGAAGAAGAGAATCAAGGAAGCCACCATCACCGAACAAAAGTGAACATCAAAGCACACACAGTAACATATCACAAAAATTTCAGCATTACTACCAGAAAAAGTATGACCCACTTAGAAGTAACACACCCAACAACTGAATCGTTACAATTCAAAGATTGTGGATAACGCAACTTCACGCAGATTTTACTGTATATTTGATATATTGATTTGGTGGCTACTAGGAAGCACAAGGCAGATCAAGTTACAGACAGGATCTTTAGTAAGTTGGCATAAACATAATTACAGCAGTCCGATAAAGAGAGTTCTAAGATAAGGAACCCAGAATTGCGTTGAAAATGAGATTGACAACACTGGGCGTTGTACGTGAGGCCACAAACTCCACCCACGAACGATGTTGCTTTAATACATATCGGGATATCGCATATAGAAGCAACCACGATTCATGGAAGATTCAGTCGGATCTCCCAGACCCCAAACACTTTAAGCAGTAACAAACAGACATTGAGCCACACTCAAATTTAACCCACCCAACGCAGAGGACTCACAAGATTTTATATATATACATATAGAGAGAGAAGGGGGGGGGGGAAGCGAGGGAGGGAGGGAGGGAGAGGGCATATTTCCTGCTTAAATTCTTTTTTTAAAAAAATGAATAGAAAGTGACATTCTCATCTCAAATTCAGATCACTGGCACTGCAAACTCAAAACTAACTCATATACTTGTAAGCAACATAAAGGGGCACCTACAAAATCCGTAGAATTAAAGTACCCTTGGAGTAACAAAAGAGAAAAAGACCAGACCATACTGAAAAAAGGACTTCCTAATCAAACAAGCTGAATCCCATATCATCATCGCTCTCTTCTTGGGGTTCTTCCTGTAAAATTGCAAATTACAATTGCCAATTAGATAACAAAATGGTCAGAAGACAGAATATGACAATACCAATACAGCTTTTCGCTAAAAAAATTTACCTTCTTCTTCTCCTCAGCAGGAGGAGGAGGGGCTGCGCCGCCACCAGCAGCAGCTGCAGCTGGGGCTGCAACGGCAACTGGAGCCCCACCTCCTCCAGCATTCAATATCAAATCCTCAATGTTTCGTTTCTCAGCAAGTTTAGCAAACAAGCTTGGCCAATAAGATTCAACATCAACATTTGCAGCTTTCACCAAGGTCGATATCTTCTCGGCCTATTGAAACTAGCTAAGGAAACACAATAAAAATCCACAAAACACCATATTTGGTTCTGTTCAGGTCAAAACTTAACTGGCTTGCCCAACCCAACCGCCCTCCTAAAAACCAAGGAAACAAAATCATTTCCCTGTTATTTGTTTTGAATAATAACAATAAAAAACAAGAGAAAATTGAGGCTGAATCCACAAAATTGTCCGCATAATCATTCATTACTGTAGAGCTTAAAATCTGAAACAAGGATACAGTGACCGGAATGTTATCATCATGGAGAATCAGAACCGCGTAAGTGCAAGCAACCTCTCCAGTCGACATTTTTAAGCTACGAAACAATAAAATTGCAATGTCAGACCAGAATGAATAGGGATCACATATAGTACTCATGCATAATTGTGTAAAAATATAAACAGTCATAATTCTCCAGCAAACATACGTACGGAAATACTTTCCGTGAAATCAGACGAGAAGAAGTAACAAACCTCAGGCAACTGAGATCAGAGTAGACTTTTTCCCCACAGTTTGCCGCTCGGCTGCCAAAGTGACTCTAGGGTTTGGGAAATCTCCCGAAACGACGTTTTATGCAGCAGAGCCAGGGAACGACGGCACTGAAATGGGCCTGAGATGTCTCATATCTGAAAGGCCCATTACAAGTAAGGCCCATATGTCCCACCTTCTCGTTTCACGGTTTTTTTTTTTTTTTATAAGCCGAAACTAATTACTTTTATCTGGCGAAAAGAAAAGGAACTATTACTCTCTCTCTCTTCTTTTTTTTTGTGTACAGAGGAGGGCTGAAGCCCAAAATTAAAAACTGTGTAACATCAATAAAAATTCTGGCATCCATGTCCACCAGGGTCTTCAAATGCACAGGGCAAGTGTCAAAAATGGAGGATTGTGATAAACCCATTTTACCTAGAGCATCCGCAGGCTTATTGCAATTCCGCGAAATATAACTCATTCTGACTTCCCAATTACACTGTAACATATCCAAAATTCTGAGATAAATGAGGCTGTCATTCTCACTTCTCTCCATTTTGCTTAGTTTCTCAATGAAGTTTTTGGCATCCGATTCAAGCAGCGCGCGTTTAAATTCAAGATCTCAGGCCAACCTTAAACCTTTGAAAATCACCCATTCTTCAGCTTCTAAAGGATTATAGATATTAATCTGATGGCGGAAACCAGCAATCCAAACAGCTACATGGTCTCGAAGAAGGCCGCCACAACTAGCCTTTGAAGAAGCAGGTATCATAGCACCATCAACATTGAGTTTTACCCAATCAGAAGGAGGGGAAACCCAAGCAAGCTCCCTAATGCCTGGTTTAGTTGTGGAAACCTTCTCCTGCACATTAAGAGAAATATAGTTCTGCCAAGAATGCAGAATAGCGCCGGCAGAGTAAGGAGGTCTTTCTTTAACAGGCTCAAAATCAGAATATTGCTCCATAACCACAGTTTCCAAGCAGAGACCCCCCATATAAGATGCCAATCATGCTGAATATGATTCCTTTTTTGCTACTTTAAATTATCAGAAACCCGATCTTTTAAAGAACCGTTGAAAAAATCAGATACATATCGGGGATTTAGTAATTCCAGCCACATTTTTTTCCGCATAATGGCAATCTCGTAACACACGAAGAGTACCCTCAATTTCCACTTGACAAAAACTGTGATACACTTAAGCTTGAGACCATATGCTTCTCCAATAGTTAGTTGGAAGTCTATCATTGAAGATTCTCCGAAGAAAAATTTTGATTCTTTTAGCTCCCTGCTGTTTCCATATCAATTTATAAGTAGGATGATGGAGACTCTGATCATTCTCCTCTAATACGTAATAAGCACTTTTCAGGCTAAAAATGCCATTTTTAGTAGCATTCCAAGTCATTATTGCATCATGCCCCCGCATTTTCAAAAGGAGGAAGAACACTGATGAGCCATTGTATAACTTCCTTGTGAACAATACTACTCAGTCTATGAAAATCCTAGTAACCATAGGGGGCCTAATCCCAGGTATTTTCCAATCTCATTACAGACCCTCATTTGAGTTGTTTTTTTATCCTCCCTTTCGTACAAGTTGGAACTTTAGGAGAGAAAAACAAAGAAGACTTGCTACGGTTAACCAACTCGCGCGAAGCCTGAGTGAATCTATTAAGACACTCCATCATGCAAAGAGCTTGTTCCTCTATAGCAACTCTAAACAAAATGGTAACTACTAATTACCTGTTGTATCAAAAAACCAATATCTTTATTTTAGTTTGGGCCAAAACCCAAAAATAGTTGGCTGGTGAAGGTTTTAGGCCTTTAGCCTAGAAGGCTACTTAATCCCAACATTTTTTTGGCCCAAAGACGGACAACCAGAGCAACAACCTTGTACCCCAATTCCCAAAACACAAATAACCCCAAGAATAACAGCCTCTTGGGTATTTGGCTAAACAATCGATAACTTTGTTCATGATATGTTTGGGTTTGACGTTTGAGGATAAATTTCACATATTGTCTTGCTGGCGAAAAAAAATTGCACTTGTTGACCCAATTATTTTTAACAGTGTAAGTATATTTTTTACTAAAGTATTTTAACAGTGTAAATTCTGAGCTATATATAAATAACTCCCTTTGAGATTTAAAACTGAACAAAACTTCCCTCTAAATAATTCAAAGTAAAAAAAAAACTTCAAACCTGATGGATTCCCTATTTCTCCACTTTTTCAATAAGGTAACATATGCTGGCGACATGCATCTATTTAATTTTTCAAAAAATAATCCTCTTAAACTTTGGTGATACATACCCAGGTAGTTTCTTCAGTTATTTTTTGTCATATATAGATAAATTTTTCCTATAAAATAAAAATACATGCTTTAAGAAGAAAAAGTTATATACGCAATTGATATAAACTGAGCATCCAAATATATCATATTAAACACAATTTTATTTTTCAAGTTGTAGGCAAGCAATTTAAATATTAGAATCATAATACAAACACACACACACGCTTGCAATTTGAAAAGAAAGATTATTAGAAGTATAATATGCTTCACGCGTATGTTCCATACGAAGGTAATGATGCTTATAGATTCCTCTCCACATCACATCCATAAAAATAATTTGGAAACTTCACAAGCGTGCATAAGACATGAAAAGTACTCTGAAAAAGCCCTAGAAAGGTTCCAACATTCATTGACTTTCAAAGTGAGCGATCCTCCCTCGGATGCCAATTCTTGTTTTCATTTAAAAAAAAAGAAGAAAAACTGAAATTCAATTCCCATTTTACACAGGTAATAGAGATTTCACTGATACGAAAGAGAAAAAAAGGGCATATAATGAAACAAGAAAGCGAGTGAGTGGGAATGATGAGTGTGTGCAATACTGAAAAGCAAATAAAAGTGACATATAACAACTTTCTATATGCCCATCCAATCCTGCCTTATAGATGTTAGATGTTAGCAGACTGAGCTATCCAAGCTCACCCTTTTCTCTTTGGGTTTGCCCCGAGCTGACCAACCAATTAAAGGGTTCCAAGATACAAAACCAATCTTTTTGAACCCATTATATGACTATATGTCATTGGATGCTCCCTCCACCCAAGACATAATAAGAGTTTAATCAGTAAAATTGGTCTGACTGTGCGAGGTAGAATCCAAAGCTCCCACTTTTAGATTCTGCCCTATCGTTTAATACAATTTGGAATCAATATGATCCTCTCCTACATCTAAAAAAGTTAATAAAATAGACTATTCTTCTAAAACGGACTTTTTTTTTTCCCCCTGTAATGATGATTTTGGGCTTGCATTGAGGACTCTGATACTAGTGACTCCCCCACACCCCCTCCCCCCTTTCCCATTGAGTTTCGAATCAATAACTTCAAAAGACTTCCCCCGTCTTCCTTCCCTTCTTTCCTCTTGACCCTTTTTTCACCAGATTTCAATGTGTTTAACCTTGAAGCAGAATGTTGCTTCTTTATCCCTCTAAAGAGGTTTTAAGTTGACGAGTTTTGTTCTGAAGCTTTTACTGCAGAGACTTGTGAAGCACCTGCCCCTACTGATGTTGTCTGCCCGCCTGCTGCTATTGATGCTGCCACTGTTACATTCACGTTTTACCCTTCAATCAATACTCATGTTTATAGATACAAATGAATATATATAAGCTAAATTACTATGAATAAACATGTTAACATGTTTGTTAAGAATGGCGACTGTTTTGGATTAGATAAGCCGTCATCACCTTCGCTGGTAGTTGACATTGGCATTGAAGAAGGAAACGACAGAACAGGAGGAGAGACCGTGGCAGTGCCATAGTGCTGTTGATGAAGAACTGGGAAGCGTACCATTTGAGGATACTGATGAACTCCAAAACCATGAGCCTGGCCACTCTCTGCATATTGAGCACAGAATGGGTAAATGTTACTACTCATTAACCCTGCTACACCAGATGCCCCACTGGATGAATAGTACGGTGAAAATTGTTGGCCTCCATACACACTGTAATAGTTCTGCACAAAATGTGTACCATTGTCAATGAAAGATGCAGCAAGCAAAATAAAAAGCACTTTAACCCAATTTTAATATACTTGAGTCTCATTTTTACAGTAGATCAGCCCTCTGATATAATGTTCTTGCACATGAGTACATACCAAGGGATACATGGAGTCTTGTGAATATCCAGAGAATCTGTAACTAAAGCCAAAGAATGGAAATCAGGGAAAACGAGGGGCAGGGAGAAAATATGAGACAAGAAATCGGCATGCAAAGTAGAGAGGCGACCAGGCCTTCCTATATATGGTATATTTACCCGTAAGCTGAATATGGAAATGTGTACTGCCCTGTAGGTTGACGGAAAACTGTGGACGAAGAGCCATGATATGCTGGCACGCCCACCAATCCAGGTGCTGCTCTGAACCTTCCCGTACCTTCAATGATATTAAGCTCGCATTTTAACCCTCTTTATCAATGATCAAAAGTGATGGATTAAGAGAACACTAGGTATCAGACACTAGTTTAAATTCACTTTTTTATAACAGCTACAAATATTTTTGAGTTGAGGCCCATTCAAGATGTGCCTGTTGCCTAAGGTGTGAAGAATGAGGTATAGTTATCATTACTGGTTGTTTATCAGATTGAAAATTTTCTCTGAAACTAAAGGAACACAAAAGCTATTTAAGCCTAAGAATTATGAGGAAGAGAAGAATGGAAACGATATTAAAAAAGCACAGGGATGGATTGAGACCAAGTTGAGGAGTTGGAGGCCGATTTTTGTTTGCACCAAGAGAAGCAAGATTGCAGTTTGCTCGTCTTCCATCAATAACTGGAGAAGGATTCTGACATGCTCGCATGGCTGCTTCTGGATCCTTGAATGTGACCTTTTAAGAAATGACCAAAAGCGAAACACACCTTGTCATGTTCAACATTGCAAAACCAAAGGAAAGTGGGAAACAAAAAAAAAAAAGAAGAAGCAAAATATAGGCAGGCTTACAAAGCCATAACCCTTGGATCTCCCCGTGTTCTTGTCTGTAATAACAACAGCTTCAAGGATTTCTCCGAACGGCTCAAAATACCTCCTCATTGTGTCCCTTTGAGTCTCCCAAGCAAGCCCTCCCACGAAGATTTTCGTCAAAGTCGTGTCGTTGTATTGCCCTCCCACCATCTGGAATTGCCTTTGTTGCGACATTATCAGCATTACACTGCAGAAACCTCGAACAGAGACAAGCACAGAGGAAGAACGACGCGAAAACCCCAGAACAATAATCAATCCAACAAACTTAAGAACCCAGACAATGTTGTGGGGATAAGGTGGCCGGATATATATAAATGTAAAAGCTGGAAAAGGGGCTATTTAATTTGTTTGATAAAGATCACAGCAGTGGAGATAAAAACCGCTCGTGCAGACGCGTGATTCCGTTGGTTTCTTAAAGGAATGGGACATTTGTTGAGGCTAAAAATGAAAACTTTTTCACACCATCAACGATTCTACAACCACCCCTCCTCAGATTCCTCAACTACGATACCCTCTAACGAGAAATAAAATCATTACTATTGAGGGTGGCCGGGAAGGAAAGGTAGGGAGGGGGGAGAGAGAATGAAAAAGAAAGGAAGAAGAAGATGGCGACGACAAAAAAAAGCTGCTAGTGGGACCCACGAATTGGGTGTCCAATGAAATGTAGAAGACCCAAAGACCAACCTTTTTTGTTCTGTATCGCCCACTTTTTCTCTCTCTGCCATATAATACATGAACAGAAAAATAATACAACTAAATAATAGTAATCGTTATTATTATAATATATGTTTGTGGGAGGTGGGTCTTCTTCATGGGGAAACATTGCTTGCTTCGCTGTCTTGTGGGCTGGAAGCTTTTCTTTCTTCTTCTGCTACGTTGAAGTGTAATGGCTGGCTTTGGTGTGGATTTGTGAATGTGTTTCCAGGAAATGTTTTTACTTTTGGTGTGTGTATGGATGTATATGTCCCTGTTCTGTTTCAGCGTCCCCTGCTCTTCGGTCTTGGGCAGTAATTCTACTAACGGTGAAAAGTACAGTACATTGGGTGGTCTTCCGTGAACCAATAGTTTCTGGCACAATCCTCTATGATTTTTCTAATAATCTTTTTTGGGAAACGAATCAGATTATATAAATAAATAAAAATTACATTTAACTAATAATTGATATAGGTGTTTCAAATACAGCTGCCTGCCTGAAGTCTTGAACTATTGCCCCACTCCTGCAGTCTTCTACTCGCTCACACAGACCAACTATATTTGTTGATGTATTAGTTTAAGTTAATTACACTCATAACAAAAACATAGCTTTTTTAATCTCTTAATTAATTATTGACATTGGCAACAACAGACTTATCCAGGGTGATGTTCAATTCAAAACCCAGGCCATTGTAACTCTGAGACACACAAGTAATGCCTTGATCTCATGAGCCTGGGAAGGAACATCAAACTTGTATAGTCTTCAGTTGTTAATTTGGTATATAAGCTTTGGGTCATCAAGCCCATCCCCGTGGCCTGCCTGGAATATCTGTGCTTTCCAACATAGTTAGGATAAAAACCGTACGTGTTAATTTCTTAGCCTTTTCATCTGAATGAAGAAGAAGCTGTTAATTTATTTGAAAATGAAAAAAGTTGTCAACTTTACCTATATCTTAAATATATGCTTTAATGAGAAAAAGAGCTAAACAGCAAACATTAAAAGGAGGCAATGTTGAAGAAAAGGCTTGGAAGCTGGAACGCATACGGTCTACTGACCAGCTCCTAGCAGGGCCTTATAAAAAGTGATTGAAGGAATTAAAATGACAGTAAGTAGCAATTCAATTAAACCAACCTTTGGATTTAAGCGAATGAGTTACTCTTTCGTAACGTGAAGACTAAGGTCTGAATTTCTATTGAAAGAAGTATTTATATTTAATACTTAGTAGTATCTCAAATGGGAACACCTTCTATTGAAGGATACTAAATGTCTAGCAAAAAAAATCAATTAATAGTGGGAGCCAAAAAAACAAAAAAAACAAACAAACAAAGTAGTGCTATTGCTATGTGAATGTAAAGCCCATATGCCATTGGTCTAAACAAATTTTCCCGAACGGCTGGTTTTCGCAGCCTAATTAGAGGTTCGTGTGGTTTGTATTCACCATTTGTGGTAACAATGTCCAATAAAACCCATTATTCAATTTGAAGCCCAAAATCTTGTACATATGTAGCAGGCCCAACGCACCCATCCACGTATGCATTTTTTGAGAAAACTGACTAAAATATCACAATATAGTACCAATATTATGTGTATACCAAATTTGTAGTGCCATTATACCTTCTTTGTATAAGAACTTAAGAGATTCCTCTTACGTATAAATTTTTTAATGAAGAATCTTATTGTCTAATTCTTCTATATAAAAAGAAAAGGAAAGCACATTGTTTTTAAATCATAATATCATGATATGACACATCAGTCAATCGAAGAACGAGTAAACATCTTAAGCTTGCCTTTTTAAATAGAAATTAAGAAGCGTGATTGTCTATTGTCTAGATCAACATCAGTTACTGTAATTTCTTTTCTAATTGTTAGAAATTATATATTGCTTGACAAATGCATTTCAGAAGTGTTTGTTTTTAAAAAGTAAAGATAGCTTGTATTAAACAGGGCATTTTACCCCAGTGATAATTTGAAGAGCTTTTGAGAAAGAGAAGCTAGCTAGCTAGCTAGCCTTGATATTTAGGCCTGGCAAATAGGGAAAGAAACATATAAATGAGTTGGGAACAAAATTAAATCACATAGGTCGAATCTCTCAACAGCGAAAATATGAGGTATCGTCAACCACATGAATCACGGCCAAGGCAAATAATCTATTCTTTTTTCTTTCTCCTTTTTTTTTTTGACCGAAGGCAAAGAATCTATTCTATATATGCTTTTTTCATCTTTAATTATTACAATACAATGTTTCGTGAGGCAATTTAATTGCAAGCAAAGATAAACCTATATATATGTGCGTGTGGCAGAATCTATCGACAATATTTCCATCTCTGAAAGCTACCTATTACACAGAAAAAATGATGGACATATCAACCTCAGGAGAATCAAAAAGGCACATTAAATTCGATGAACATTATGGATGGTTGTTCCCTAGTTAAATGAAATGATGACGATTGAACAGTATTAACAAAACCAAAAATCATCAAATTCAGAATCTATTGCTTTAATCAATCAGTACTACTATTGTATGATTCTGTCTTCCTTCGTCATTTAATTTTCTCTTAATGATCTTGCTTTAGGGTGCAAATGCAAATTACACACGCACACTCTAGCATTGCTCACAACTTTTGTTTGTGTGTCATTTTTTGATTGAATCATGTAGAATCTGCAGAATTTTCAAACTGTTAAGCAATAATTATTAATATTCATATAATATATCTAAATAAATGAAAGAATAGATAGAGTGAAAATTAAGAGTCGATATGTACACGATTTTAGTTCGTGTTATTATTTGATGGGATGACCCCACAACAGTAAAAGAATTTAATAGAGAAAAGAGAGGGGGATCACAGGGAGGGTTTGAGGGTCAATGTAATGGACCTTCAAAGTCCGCAATATTGGTGGATGGTACAAATCAAGAAGTTGAATTTGTTCTTCATTTTTTTTTTGTCATTTACCTCGTGACTTTGAACGTAGACATTGGCTCTTAGATTAGATTCCTGGTTAATCATCATATGCTCATTTAACACCACGACACTAATTATATTCATGTGCTAATAACATTAACGTTTTTTCAATTTGTTTACAATTTGCATCTTTCATTTTATTATAAACCTGTGGTTAATCATCCATCTTCGAATTGAGGATAACAAAATAAAGTCAGATGCTAATTTTTATCTTTATACATACATATATATATATATATACATCCCGATAATCTCACCAAGTTTTAGCTTGAGCTGAAAGCATCGCATCAACTGCATGGGATCTTATATATTTTATAAATTTTGTTCATTGAGAAAACTCCAGAAAATTATTGGATTGACTCTGTGCAATCTTTGATTATTTTCACATGCATGTGACTAAAATCCCACGTTGGAAACATCCTGGAAAGTGGTGTGGGGCTGTGGACGTGTTTATTTATAATGACCCATATATGACATCTTCTAGTGACTAAGTAAAAACGTTTTTATCTATATATACAGAGCCTGAAAAAAAAGTCCCATTATTCATAAAGTGTAAATATTTTACTTATTATAACTATTTTTTTTATTGCACGTCCCAGAAGAGATATAGATTTGATTTTTATATATATTGAGATATATATATTAGTGATCTTCAGCCAAAAGTTCTTTATATATGATTTTCTCCTTTTTCCTGGAAAAAAAAATTGATAAAGAGAAAGTAAAACTAGCTGGATTTTGTTGCGATATTATTGAATCCCATTATTAGACGACCAGGAGAATAAAATGAAGCGAGTAGAAACTTCAGAAAAAACTTGAGATCTAAAACTTGTATCATTATTCACTTTTTTTTTCCCCCCCCCCCCCGGTAAGTAAGCAGAAATTGAAAAAGTTATATATATATATATATATAAATATATATATAAAGGAATATTTAGTTCATGTTTTTTAGAAGAGAAGCTTCAATATGTACATATAAATACTTACTAGTATAGATGAGATTCTAATCGTTATTTGTAAGAATTTCACTTATGTCGGTTGAATCACTGAAAATATTTGTAAGAATATTTTTAAAATAAATCAATAATTTAATCCCTGAAAATCATTATTTTCTTTTGGTCGAATTTCATTATCTGATGCTTCAAAAATCATTCTTGTTTTTTTAATTTTGTCAGTATAAGTTGAAAAATACATAAACATTTTTTTATGTATTTTATCAGGGCCACCAGTCGCAAGATTTGATTTCATCAAGCACATTTTTTAAACTGGCAAATAAACTTTCACTAAAACATGCGTGATACATCACAATTATCATATCAGCACATAGATACTACCTCCGGTCCTTAATATAAGACTATGTTTGACTTTTATTTTGGTTCTAAATATAAGACCCTAATTTATTTTGTCTATCATATTTATACTTTTTTTTTCAAAGTAACCATTCTAATAATAGGAGTTCTAATTAATACACTTGATTAGTAAAGATATTTTAGGAAAGACAACACCTATTTAGGACAAATAACTAACTTAACTTATTTCCTTAATCTCCTCAAATTAGTCAACTGGCTCTTATAATTAGGACCGGAGGTAATATTAAAGTCTATTATAATTAACGGACTAATCATCAACAGATTGTCTTAGAAAGCAAATAATTAT